TAAAACTATCTGTTATGTTGCTAGACATTTCTCGACTTATAGGAAAAAGGAAAGAAAAAGGATCCTAATCTGAAAATAGCCTCCAGTCTACTTTTAAGATTGAAAACAAGTCTTGACAAAGGCCGGCCCGCCGGAAACAGCCCCCCTCGACTGGTGGCTGGAGTAAGGATGGGTTACGAGTCTCCGTGTCGCCCCTCGGGCGGTCGCGAGGAGCCCCACCCGGAGCGTCAGGTGGCACCTTTGGACTCTCGGGAACGGAACGAGGCCGTTCACAGCTAAGCCTTTGCCTCGTCGGCTTTAGACCCCCCCACTTTTCCAAGCACACATTCACTCAACCCGACCCTGCAACCTGCCCGACCCGCCCGGAGGCAAAAACTTTGTTGCGCTCCTGCCTGCCAGGCAGGCCAACAGCGCTACTTTTACGACGCCGTTGTCGGGTTCCAGTTGTTTTTGGTCGAGGCACTGGAATGGCCTATTAGAACATTATAGCTGCCGCTATGTGGTCTCACAGCTTTGATGTGATTTTTGGCTAGCATAAGTAACAAGTGAATTTCGAAATGTGACCTAACCTATCTTGTACAGAATTTTTGCTGATTCCAAATCTGTTTTCCATCTTTGCCAATTAGCCGATTTAAAAGCCACGGCGACTTTAAGATCATTTTTGGCCAAATTTTCCGAACTGCGAGGCCCATTATTTTGCATCCGGGTTGATTTTCTGAAAATGTTGTTCTCATAACTTTTTTTTTCTCTAACAAATGAGCCCTTTAGCACATAATTGTCGTAAAATGAACAAAATTGACGATGGGAACTCGGATTTTTGTAAGCGGAATGGTGAAAAATAGGCTATTTCACTCTATCAGATAAGCTGCTTAAAATAGGTTAGAGCAATAAAACAACAACAACAACAAAATCCAGCATCAGTGCAGATGATTTCACCTGCGCCTAAAAATGCCTGGCCTCTAACTTTTTAAATCTGGCTATTTGGTAAAAATTTTAACAAATTTTTGCACCAGCAAAAAATTCTGCACAAGGTGAGTTAGGTCCCATTTCAAAACGTCACCCAAAACAGGCGATCGTTCTAAGTTCCCATTCACATCTTCCGCGCGTACGAACGGGTTGCACACCGCCTACAATCGCTAACAAGGGGATGGTCTCAGCTCGGAATCGAATTCGGATTTGAAAATTTGCACACTGATAGAGCTCGACGAGACAAATCGATTGGTGTAACTTTCAGCAGCAGATACCCCGAACTAACAAAGTTATAAGCATTTTTAGTTTTTGCATACATTTTGCAGATTTTTCGCCATACCTTCATAAGCCCTCCCCCTTCCCCGATCAGCGTGGTCTGGTGGTCTAGTGGTGTAGTCGGCGGCGTCTGGGGAATCTATCAAGGGTTCGAACCCGCTCACGATTTTTATTTTTTGCTTTTTGGTCCAAAGATTCCTCTTGGCATTCCAAAGACCTTTAATGGCCTTTTAGGCATTCACCAGGAACCAGGAAGCGTTGCCAACAATAAAGCAGCTTTGCGAAAAATTTAAAATTTTTTGCCTGTGCTCATGCCTCCTCAAAAAATTTTAGGGAAACTTTCAGAAGGCTGGCAATCTGCTTATCAACACTTTATCGTATCCCAAGCTGCATGAAAATAATCAAAATTATTTTCTTTGAACTGATCCTACTATGGTAACCTTGCCAACTCTCAAAATTTCCAAAAAATTTTAGGAGTGGGATTTTTTTGCTGCGAGCGCTTCCTGGGCCTGGTGAATGCCTAAAAAGCCATTAAAAGTCTTTGGAATGCCAAGAGGAATCTTTGGACCAAAAAGCAAAAAATAAAAATCGTGAGCGGGTTCGAACCCTTGATAGATTCCCCAGACGCCGCCGACTACACCACTAGACCACCAGACCACGCTGATCGGGGAAGGGGGAGGGCTTATGAAGGTATGGCGAAAAATCTGCAAAATGTATGCAAAAACTAAAAATGCTTATAACTTTGTTAGTTCGGGGTATCTGCTGCTGAAAGTTACACCAATCGATTTGTCTCGTCGAGCTCTATCAGTGTGCAAATTTTCAAATCCGAATTCGATTCCGAGCTGAGACCATCCCCTTGTAAGTGCCTAGCGAGTGCTGAGTAGCATGTTTTTGGCCAGTCTACCGCGTGGAAACGCATGGATTTTCGGGGGGCTAGAAGCGCTTTGTTCGCACATGTGTCGACGGAAAATTAGGGGCAGCTTGAGGCGGTGAAGAATGGAATCGGCTGTGACGGCAGACTGGCCGACTGGCCCGGTAATCATCTTCTCATTTTTCTGCCTCTCTGTCGAGGCCAGGCTGCTCATTACGGTAATTGGTTGTAGTGATGTTAGGATGGTGGGGTAGAGAGATGTCTTGGATGATAGCGGGTCCATAGGTAGCAATTTTACTAATGTTTTTTTTTGTTTTGTAAGGGTTGAGTGAATGTGTGTTTTTACGAGGAAACTTATTTGAGTGGCCGCGGAGTTTCGAAATGGGACCGAGCCTATCTTGTGCCGAATTTTTTGCTGATTAAAATGTACAGAATCTTCCAAACGACCATAATAGTAATGTTATGAAGCTTTAAAGTGTGAAAAAGCTTTGTAAGGTTCTTCTTGTGGTCGGTTCGTAAATTACATTTTTAAAAACGGCTCACTTTTCAAACACCTTCCTCAGACTTTGTGGTTTCGAGAGAAGAAGCCGATCCGGTGGGATGAGAGCCCGGTTGGGTACACATCGTTATGAGTGTCCTGGCTCACTCGGCTTCTTTCCCCTGCTGAATCTATCTGCCTTCGCTTTTGCGTGTCGCCCACGAATTTTCACCGTTTTCAGCACGTCATTGCAAAAATGGACGGTGAAAAAGTTGGCGGATCATGTATTCAGGGCGCATACGGGCTGACAGTCACTTTTGCAACATTCTTCCCCCAGCAGAATCTATTATACCTATTACAAACCGGGATTTTATGTATTTTTCTGGGTACTTTCGCATTACCGGGGGGGGGACTTTTTCCCTATCAGTCCAGAAGTGCCTCGTAACATCTTAGGATTTTTAAAGACCCCCAGAACGATGAAATTCCGTTGAGAGCAAGAAAGTTGCGCACCGGGCGGGGTCGAACCCGCGATGGTTCGATCCACAGTCCGACGCGCTAGCCACTATACCACAGGGCCAAGCGGGGAAGGGAGTCGGAGGCGCCCCAAATGGCGTACTGTACGGGTTTTTGCCTGGGGCGCGAAATAGCAGCATGATTTTAGCTGCGCAGGCCTGCTTTCGTAATGGCGCGACGCGTCTATCGCACGCGTTGCGGTCTTTCTGGGTTTCCAATTCTACCGGACGTTTTATTAGGCGCCGGGCCGCTGTGCAGAGGGCCTCTGCCCAATACGGGGCACCACTAATGACGCCTCTCTCCGCGCGTTCTTGGGGGGCGCACCCTCGGGGTGACAGTGTGCGTTCCAGAGTTCTAGCAGTCTTTAATAGGGTTTTGGTAAAATTTAACTGGTTTTTGGTGGAAAAATCGATATTTTTTTGTATTGGTAAGTAAAATTTGTAACGTGTTGCGATTCGAAATAGTAAAAACAATTTAGAAAACACTGCCTCTATTCATATTAGAGAAAATGTATCCTTGGAAAAAAAGTTGGTCTCCCCTCTGATACCCCCCCCCCCCCCCCCCGATAATGCGAAAGAACTATTTTCTGGTCTAGTTTCATGAATCCAGCAGCCAAAATCGAAATTTTCGTACGGCTTCATTCCTCCTTTTCCCCCACTCCAAAACAAAGCCCGTCCATCCCATTAATGGGTACCCCTCGCCGGTTTGCGTAGCCCATTTCAACTTTTTTGTTCGCATCAATTGTATCTGCGGCTGCACAAATATTGGCTGCTGTGCGGGTGAGGGGAGGGGGCGGAAAACAATATGCACACACGGGGGGGAGACGCGTGTGTGGAGTAGTGAGGGTTTTATGGGCCGATGGGCAACTGGTTCCCCCCTTGCACCTACTACTACAATTGCTACTAGCGAGCTCTTAGTCGAGACCGCACTTTATGGCTTTTACCCCGCTTCGTTTGGATGTTTTAGGGGGTTTGGGAGATTTTTGAGGAGGTCATCCTGGTAGCCAGTGAATGACACGGTAGCCGTGTTTGGGCGCAGGCTCGGTTAGGGCTACGTGTACACCTAGTTACACAGAAGTTTTAACAAGCGGCTTTTGCCTAACTGCAAACCTCGCTCTCTCGCTCTCTCTCTCTCTCTCTCTCTCTCTCTCTGTCGTTCTCTCTCTCATTTTCTCTCTCCTTATCCCTCGGTCTACGTATGCGCAGACCTTTTTTCCGCTTAAAACTTGATCCTTATGATTTTACAAGCGAATACACCATAAAACCGTGAAGCTCGTTGCGGCCTCGGTCTCATGGCCCGGCGACTCGGCGCTTCGTTGCCTATTACACCCCTCGCACCCTGTTGCTCAGCCAGGATCGGCTCATTCAACCCCCCTTCTCCCCCCATTCCAAACACCCAATCCCAGCGATAATCAATTCATACCCTCGGTCGGGTATGAAGAAGATATCCCATCATATCACCCTCCGGCTTGCATAGCGTAAATCCGCGGATTTCCCGCAACCGTTTACGGGCGCGCGTCTCGTCGACCTTGGGCTAATTGGGGGCGGAATAACAGCATTTGGTGATGGAACTCAATGTAATCCAATGGCTTGCACCTGGTTCTCTATTTTGATCGCATTCAATTTAGCCAATAAACTTAAAATATTCATTGCATTTAAATAAAGCAAAATCTGTTGAATTTTAATTAATTAAAACTTAATTTTTGAATTGTTTGGGAACTCTTTTCATGTTTTTTACTTACGCTTTTTGACACCCTTGTACTTTCAATGTCTCAAAATTCTTCTACATCTTCTATATTTAATTGGATTTATTATGCTTTTTGTCCTCATCCTCCTCCTCTTTTCAATAACTGAATGTTGGGATTCGTAGGTGTCTCTCTCAAACCTGGCGCTGATGAACCAGGATTGGGTGGCGCTACCTCCAAAGTCGCCAATCGCTCTCCGCTATGCCAACGGATTCGCACGACGCCCGCTGACAAGGTAGCAGCGTTTTATTTAATAGATTGTGGCTTCATTTGCTACTCAAACCATTAAATATTCCTAGCATTCACAAACTCAACGAATGCCACCATTTCCACTACCCGTCGGTGGAACTCGGCCCAGTACAAGTGAAGGTGGACGATGTGGAAAAGACGCTGCCCACCATCAATGATGTCACCGTTACACTCGCCATCTTTAGCAATAACGCGACATGGTACGACAAATCTCCGAATTTAAGCTGAAAGTTTTTAGGAAAATCCGCAGGACGTTGGCAGAAATTTTTGGATTTGATCGGCAATTACATCGGTGGGTTCAAGGGGTTATTTTTATCAACAATCCCTTTATTTAGCTGCGTTTTTGACCGTCGCCACTCTCGACTCGACGAGTTGGAGTGCGTATGCGGGGTGTCCGATTCCAAAGAGGTCCTAACAACGTAAGTTCCGTACCTAAAAGCGGTTAAAAGTAGGCCAATCCCGGAATCCGGTGAGTGATGGGCGTAAATTGGCTTCAAACTGCCCGTCTCACTGTCCACACCACAACGTAGCCCGGGGTATATAATAGAGTAACCTTGGGTCGGTGCGCTCTGTGTCCACTCGCGGAAAAAACGGGCGATGCCCTCAATCCGCCCGGCCGGGGCGCTCACCTCCCCCTCCGCGGCGAAACCGCCCCGAAAAAACGAGACAAATCGCAAAATTGCAGCTATTTCGGCCGATTCTCGCAGCTCACCGGCAGTGTGATTACCTGTTATCCGGTGTTGAAGTTTTTGGAGGTGAGTTCCGGGTTTTTTGGTTTTTCACGGTTGGTCAAAAATTGTTCACGGCTTTAGATTAGTTGGGGCTATCTTTTAACACAGCGTAAGCGCCTAGTGACGTCTGCGTCGCCACTCTTTCTTAAAACGAGGCTTTTTGGCTTGGCTTTCTTGGCCGTCTTAAACGAGGCTTCAACATCGTTGGAGTCTCAAGTTTGGACCAAGCCTATCTAGTGCAGAATTTTGCGCTGATTCCGAAGATGTTTACCAAATTCGCGGACCACCACGTTCCGAAAGTTATGAACGGTTTAAAACAGGAAAACCATGGGAAATGGCTCCTTTCGGCTGTTTCAGTATTAGGTCCTTCATAACTTTCGGTCGAGATGCCGCAAATTTGCTGATTCATTCGAAATCAGCGTAAAATTCTGCACAAGCTAGGCTCGGTCCCCCCGTACACATTAAAAAATGTCTCCTCTCTAGTCTTAGGGACTCCCGTTATATACAAGCCAGTTGCCTAAAATACGCTATCAGGCTTTGTTTATTAGCACTAATGATTTCAATACATTTTGATGATCTCTAACCTGCCAAAAATTCGGTAAACACCTAGCTAAGTACCCGATGTTTTGCAGCGGTTCCGAGAAAAAGGCTGCACTTGGCACCCACGGTGTGGTGGCCACTTTTTGCCCAAACGGATCATGTGGCCAAGGGCTGGGCCCTCCGCTATCAATCAGGGACACGACCCACGAACCGTTTGTGGCCCGGCTAGAGGGGCCGCCCGGAACTCAGGCTCATTGCGGAGGGCGCGTTTTGGAATTATTGATTGGAAAGAAATTAGGCGGTTTGAAGACTTTCGCTGTCTCTTTCTGTCTCCCTCTCGCTTTCTCTCTCTATCACTCTCTCTATCTCTCTCTATATCTATCGCTCGCTCTCTCTCGATCTGTCTCTTGCTCGGAGTTTTAAAAATAGCTAGCTATTCTAAACTATAGACAAAGGGTACATTTTGACACCCTAAAATTTTTTATAGCTGTTTGGTAGATCAAAAATCATCCCCTAACCCGTTCGACATCAAATTGTTCCTGTCCGCGTGGGGGGGGGGGGTTGATGTCGAAGAAATGGAGCAGCTGATTCTGTGGTCCCTTCTCCTCCTTCTGAGAAGTCCTCCCACCCCCTGGGTCGAGTGCCGAGATGTTGAGGCTGTGGGGGGATCGGATGAAAAGATTGACAAGATCCTCTCGAGGGCCCCAAGCCAAACCACCAACACAGCCACTGCTGCTGCTGGACATCGCCCAACAGTTTTTGCCCTAAAAATATCTATTTTTCAAGGCGAGAACCGCACTTCCTCGAAGATTTCGGGGTTGAAACTACAAATCCTCGGGTTGAAGCTATTTTGGGCTATTGAATTTTAATGCTCTCGTAATTATTTAGTATGTGATGTGATTAAGGTCAAATCCAGGCTGAAAACTGAGGATTTGATTCGGCGGTTCTTCCGCATTATAGGGGGGCAAAAGGGTCTCTTTTTTTGTTTTTCGCTACCTATACCTAGATTATGATGGTGATCCCGATATCAATACCCTTTGCTATCTGCTGCCCTTTTGGATTTGTGGATATTTTTGGCGGAAAAGATCGGCGGGTGCAGTCGGGAGATCTCCAATTTCCGGTGATGCCCAGGCTAGGCTATAGGTGATGGGACACGCGGGTCGATGTAAGGAATGGAAAACAAGTTGTCTCCTCACTAGAACGGTCCCGCGTTATTTTCCTCAAAATGCATCGATTTTAAGCCTATGTTTTTGTTATAAGTTTCTGCAGGAATACGCCTATTTTATTGAACCTTCAACAAATACTAATTCTCACCCTCTAGCTGCCCTGTCAATCAGTGACCTTGCTGCTCTTCGATCACCCAAAATCATTGCTTTTCCCACGGACCGCGACACCCGAATCCCCCCTCCCGAGAAGCATCACTTTTCGCTTTTTCGTGGCGTGGTTTCACGGCCTTTTGAACAGACCGCTCCTCTGAACAAGGGTGAAGTGAGTGCAACAGTAAATAATGTCTGACTCGAACCGGGTGCCCACCCACCGTGGCTCACTTTTTAGCCACTGCCAATTGTCATGGGTAACCGGTGTCCGGAGGCGTCGGGCGTACTTGCCCGGATTTTTGGATTTTGAAAATTATAGGCTTTCTTGATGGTTTAAATGCGATGTTTTTCAAGATTCTGGCGAGCATTAGAGTGCATTCCCTGAGTCATTCATGGAACATCATGCTACACAAGTGCCTATTTACGTCTGCGTGTAACTCGCTGTTTTTAGCTCTCTCGCTCTCTCACTCTCTCTCTTTCGCCGTCTCTCTCAAAAATAGTCTACAAGGCTGATTTCTGAACCAGGGCTTTAATCGCAATATGGCAAAAAACCTGAACACCTGGCTTAAGCCCAAATTGCCTCTGCCACCCTTCCCCACCCTCCCACACGCCCCATAGAATTCTCTGGCCCTCCTAACCATGCCGAGGCAATCCCCTCCAAAAACGGAGTGCGCAAAACATTGGCCGGAAATGAGGAGTGGGAGCGCCAGTTGGGCCCGACCACCCCCCACGCATACCCCCCGAAATGCTCCATTTTTGAAGCGAGCCGAATTTGAGGGGGACGGATGGCGAGACATTCGCCGAAATAGACCCCCAGCCATTTCACGCTGGGGGAGGGGGTTCTGGCAACGATTACTCATCTTTTCATCGAGCGCCATTTGTTGTTTTTCGGAATCTCTTGCCGCTCTGGGAGTGTGGATCCTATCATTATGGCCTCTCGGGTTTTTTATTGACGTTTTTAGCCGTCGTCGGGATTTTAGGTGAGACTAAGCCTAAAGTGCACAATTTTGCGCTGATTCTGATATTGCATACCAAATTTGCGAAATCGCCATTTTCCAAAAGTACTGAACGACCAAAGACCGATAAATACCCGAAATGAGCCACTTCATGTGGTTTTCCCCGACTTAAATTGTCCATAACTTTTAGAAAAAAACTATTCCGCAAATATTACATTAACTCCTATACGTAACCACCGCAAAATTCTGCACAAAATAAGTTTGTTCATTGGCCTGGAAATAGCGACGACACTAAAAAACGTTCCTTGTTAGGCTTATGTTAGCGGCTTTCCAATAAACATGGATTTGTTGAAATATACGTAATCGTTATTTATAAACAACTTTCCTATCGATTAAAGCATGGAATTCATTGAATTCTTTGGCACTGCCCTTCCCTCATCATCTCAAGACAAAATATTTGTGGAAGAAGCGCTCAAATGGCATGGGAAGCTCACCAAACGCAGAACAATAAAAAAAATCCATCAGTGATCTTCTAATTTTTCTGCATCATTAAAAATTTTTTCTTGCGTCTAATCGAGGTTGCAATTTCAGATAGACTCGCGTGGACACCGATTCTGCGCGGCCGAGCAGTCGGCCATCAACACGCCAGCAATCGCCGCCGCCCTCGTCACCAAACATTTCAAGGGGAGGACGCCTGAACAGCTCTCCATACGGGTACGTCTTAAAAAATCTGGATATCTCGGAAATGTTGCATTTTTTGTCACCTCCAAAAAGTACTTTAGGTGGGCGACATCTTGTCGATAATCGAAATGTCGGCGGTGCCGTCAAACGGGTCGACGTGGTGGAAAGCAAAGCTGACGATCCCCGTCGGAAATCACGGTTCACTTGACGGCGACGACGACGCTGACACGGACAACAACGGAAATATACGGGTTTGTCTTTTCAATTTTTTTACTAGCTAGCATTTTAACTAGTAAAAAATAACTTTCAGTACGTATTCTGAAACAAAAAAAACGTAAGTAAAAAAGGTCAAATGCGCATTCCTGCGTCAAATTTTAACGACCCATCTTTTAAAAAATGAAAATACGATAAGTTGCCGCTTAGGTATTCCAAATTGGCTACTTCCCATCCGATTGTGTGACGCTATTCGACGATAAGGCAGTCACCACCCCTAGCCCGATAGCCCCCAAACGGTTACCTTTAACGGCAGCAAAACGGGTACGTTAACCTCATTATAAAAATATGCCACTAAAATTCAGATTGGCGAGATGGTGCGCAGAAAGGTGAAGCGAAAGGAGCCGGTGTTTAGCGTCGATCTCGTTCAGCATCTCCAGCGAACCGCTAGGCCAGGTATCAAAAATTACCTCTATCACCTAAAGGCAAATCTTCTAGTGCCGCTAATCCTGCAACGATGTGTGGAGGCAATAGAAAAACATGGAATTGTGACTGGCATATATCGACAGTGCGGCATCCAGTCTAACATCCAGAAATTACGGTAGTTATATGCAATTTATAAGAATCTGGGTTTTCAGGGCAAAGTTTGACTGCGGACTGGAGCCGAACCTCTCCGAATTTGCCATCGTGAGAGACATCTACTCCGTCTCCTCCCTGCTCAAACAATATTTCCGACAGCTACCCAACCCCCTCTTCACCTTCGAACTCTATGCAGATTTGATCGTAAGTTACTGTGATATCAGAAATTTACGTTATTCTAGGCGGCCGGTGAGCAACGGGACGAGCGGATACGGGTTGAGTGCCTTCGTGATGTTTTGCAACGGCTTGTACCCGAGCATTATAGGTAGGAATATAACGTCACGTCAAAAAAAAATTATTTCAGAACCGCACGCTACCTGATTTTCCACCTCTCACGGCTCTGCGAGCAAAAAGACCTCACTGATATGAGCTCGCGTAACTTCGCCATCGTCTGGGCACCAAATTTGTTTCGGTACGTTAGAGAGCCTCCGTACACCACGCGTTGTGTGCGTACAGCCTCGGAAGCTCACTAAAAATCATTACTTTTCAGAGCGCCACCTACACTCGGTGAAGGCGATTCACACCTGTTGAGCGGACTAAATATGCACACTGCCCTCTGCCATTTCATGATAAACCATGCGGCGGAATTGTTTCCGGAGGAGCAAGAAAATGACGTCTTCCCAGAAGGTATCCATTAAATAGTAGGCCTAATGTTCCGTTTCAGTGATCTCAACCCAAGTAAACGGTCGTCCCCTGTTCGACGTGCCCTCTAATGCTTCCCTCGGCACCTTATCATCACAACAAAGCAATGGATATTCTGATGAGAAAGCGTAAGCGGTGTACTTTCTGCCCAATTAATGCTTAAAATATAGACCTTCACGGTGGTCGCGCTTTATCCGTGGCACCTCGGTGGAACAACTGATTGGCGGGTTGGGGAGGAGACAGACCACCCAAGTATATGGAGGATCGTCTGCCAGCAACACGCCAGTGGCCAATATTCGGAATGACAAGGAGGGGATCAAGTGGAGAAGGTTCGGAATTCATACCACATCCTAAAAAGCAGTTTCAGAAGTCGCTCGACCGATGCGGCCATGCGGCAATCGCGCTCCGAATCGCTACTATCGATGGTGCACCGAGGGGCAGAGGGATTGAGGTAAGGTAACAGGTGCTTTTGCATTATCGAGGGAGGTTCATAATTTTTTTCCATTATTTCCGAACTGCTTAGTTACGTAATAAAAAGTGTAAGTAAGTGTAGCCATATTCACGCAGAGAAATTATCCAAAAAAAAACGGAAAAACTTCTTAAAAATTGGAAAATTGGTCAAAACCCGTACGAAAAATAGCTTTTATGGTATTTGTTGTGTCCGCGAGTGTGCTTGCCTCTTGTGCTTGATGGATAACTTGTGGCGAATAAACGTTAGAAGTTTATTCGTAGCAGCTTCCAGGATAAAAAGGATTAGAGCGATAATTTAGGGAGAAAATCCCATGAGTCGGGAGACATTACGACACGTAATCCGGAGTGATTTGAACTGGGGTGGATTACGGTCACTGGGTCACAGAATAGGCAGTGGGGGAAAAGAGACTAGCTTTTTCTCTCCACAACACCTCCTCCTCTTTAAGGAAGAATCCAGCGCCGGCACATAGCCAAGCAGGAGGTGAAGGTGAAAGGGAAAAATGCGCAACATAGAGACACGTGAATTTGGAAAACAAAATCGAGGAAAAGTAGGCACGCAAAAATACAATCTCACGGAAAGAAAATAAAGTTCGTTCGTTTCTTGCTTAATTTCTTGCGTACGCTTGACCTCCTCGTTCACGGGCTCCATCTGGATGGTGGACGGCGAGTGCGTTTGGGCCTTGACACGGGCTCATCACCTTCAGCAGTCGGCGTCGCCACATCCTTCCCTTCTTCATCGAAAAGTTGCTTGTCGCGCTTGCGTAGTTGGTTAGCATGACGCGTCCAGAGCATTCCGTCAGCCAGCTTGACCAAGTAGATGACTTTCGACTTCTTTTTGACGATAGTAGCCGGAATCCAAGTAGATTTCGCTGCGCGCCAGTCCTTTGCGTAAACGGGCTCATCAGGTGAAAAATTCTTTTCCTTGGCTCCGTGATGGCGATCGAACTGTGCGCTCATTGTGGCCTCCTTCACAACTTCTCTTTGCACACGCGGTAGGAGTAGCGAGAGTTGACCTCGCATTTCGCGTCCCATCATGTTCTCGAATGGAGACGCTCCATTGGGGCCAGCAGCACAGGGCGTGGCGTGATGTGCTTGAAGAAAAATCCGAATGGCATCTTGTAGTTTGTAGCCATCGGTGCGCAACTTGGACACGGCCCGCTTGACGACATCAACATATCGTTCAGCCTGTCCATTTGATTGTGGATGGAAGGGCGGCGAGAATAGATGTAGTATTCCATTCGTTTTGCACCATTCCTTGACTTGTCGGGCCGCGAATTGACGTCCATTGTCGGTAACGAGCACTTCCGGTAGGCCATATCTCGCAAAGATATTTGCGAAACCTTCCAGTGTGTCCGTAGCGGTGATCGACTTCATAGGTACCACTTCCAACCATTTAGAGAATGCATCGACGATTATCAACAGATAATGTCCATCGACCGGGCCCGCAAAATCGGCATGTAGGCGTGTCCATGGCGCATGCGCGAGCGGCCAGGGTTCCATTTTCGCCTTTATCGGGTCCTTGATGGTCGTGGCGCACGTATCGCAACTTCGCACGAGTTGCTCGATGTCCTTGTCGATGGTGGGCCAATAGACGAAACTTCGCGCGAGCGCTTTCATCTTATTCATGCCTTGGTGTCCGAGGTGAAGCAACTTCAGCACTTCCTTTTGGAGTTTCTCGGGCACGATTACGCGGTGACGCCATAGAAGAACATCGTCCGCGAACGAGATTTCGTCTCTTCGGTTGAAGAAGACGTAGAGGGGAGCGTCCTTGTCCGGTCGAGGCCACATTTTCGACTTCAAAAACTTCAGAACGTCCCGCAGAACTTGATCCTGGGCAGTTTCCATCTGCATTCGCTTGATCGGCAGCGGCAACGTGTAGTTTTCGTCCGCTTCTCCATCAGCATCCGGATCGACGTCAATTGCAGCAATGACGCGTTCTTCATTCGGCCTCGGTTGTTCAGCAATCAGCCTGGACAGTGCGTCGGCTTGACCAAAATCCGCGGTCCGAATGTATTCCATGTGGAAATCATAGTTGAGAAGAGTTACGGCCCATCTTTGTAGACGATTTGCCGAATACGCCGGAATTCCCGTCTTCGATCCAAAAATCGCGAGAAGCGGCTTGTGGTCGGTGCGCAGGGTGAATGTCCTTCCATGTAGGTACCGGTGAAACTTCTTCACGGCGTAGATGATAGCCAGTGCCTCCTTTTCGATTTGACTGTAGCGACGCTCGGTATCCGTCAGGGTCCTTGACACGTGTTGGACGGCCTTCTCTTTCCCATCGATCTTGTGGGTGAGGACAGCACCGATGCCGTAGTCTGATGCGTCAGCGGCAACAATCAGCGGTAGCTTCTCGTCATAGTGCGTCAGCAGGAGGTTTCCAGAAAGAATGTCCTTGATCTTTTGGACAGCTTGGTCGCATTCTTTTGACCATCGGAACTCTTTCTTTTGTTCCACCGAGGGCTTTTCTTTTCTCTCGGCCACGACCTTTTCTTTTCTCGTGGTTTCGACTCTTTCTTTTGTCGAAGTGACTTTTTCTTTTGTCACAGTGACTTTTTCTTTTGTCACTTCATCGAGAACATGGCGAAATGAGGACAGATCACGAACAAAATGACCATAAAATTGAATCATTCCAAGAAATGAGCGTAATTGGCTTATATTTTGCGGCGTGGGCATGTGCTTGATGGCGGAAATCTTCTCCGGGTCGGGTCGACGTCCTTCCGGGTCGATCAGGAAACCGAGGAATTTGATTTGCCTTTGCGCAAATCGGCACTTCTCCATTTTCACTCGCAATCCAAACGCTTGCAGTCGTCGAAAAACTGCTCTCACTCGTTCATCATGTTCCTCCTTCGTCTTGCCCATAACGATCACATCGTCCAGGTACGCAGCTGTCCCCTCGAGACCATTGATGACTTGGTCCATGATGCCTTGAAAAATGGCGGGCGCTGTCTTGACTCCAAAAGGCAGACGTTGGTACTGGAAAAGTCCACGATGCGTGTTGATCGTCACGTACTCCTTGGAATCCTCATCAACGGGCACTTGTAGATAAGCCTCGGCGAGGTCCATTTGCGTGAAGTACTTTCCTCCGTTGAGCTGGGCGAAGATTTCCTCAGCTGTAGGAAGCGGATGACAATTTGACTCGAGCGCGTTGTTCAGTCCGGTCGAGAAATCAGCACACATCCGAATTGATCCAGAATTTTTCTTGACGACAACGATCGGGGCGGCCCATTGAGAAAATTCAACAGGTTTTAGCACTCCAGTGCCCACCAAACGATCGATCTCCGCTGCAACAGCGGGCATTGCGCCAAAAGGCACCGGTCGGGCCTTGCAGAACTTGGGCACAGCGCCGGGCTTCAATTGTAGTCGAGCCTCCAACTTCTTACAGCTACCGAGTCCATCTTGCGCTACATCGGCAAATTCCAGCTTGAGTTGTGCTGCGAAATCACCCTCCTTCTCGGCGTCGATTGCCAACACCTCCATGGTATCGGGCTTTAGCATTTGACGAAATGCATCCATCGCATTCGTGTTCTTGAGCCAATTTAGACCCAACAGCGTGTAGCCGTCGACGACGTGGCACACACCGAACATCTCCTTCTTGTCGATCACATACTTGCAGTTGAAGTTGCCATGGACCTTGATAGCTTCGCCATTCGCTGCCTTCATCTTCAGATCCGTGGACTTGAGCGCGGGCGATCCGAGCCGCGTCCAATCCTTCTTGCTGATGATCGTGATGTCGGCGCCCGTATCAACTCGCATCTTCAGCACCTTGTCGTTGATCGCAACATCTAGAAATAAACGATCAGATTCGTGATTCAAAGAAAGGTTAGAACCAACGATTACGACATTTGTGTGCGCGGGCCTTGCGAACTTTTTCTTGGGGAAGTTCGGCTGTCCTTGCGGCTTCTTGTTGCGTCCCGGGCAATCGGCATCCCAGTGGGCTCCTTGACAGTGCTTGCAGGGCCTCGTTGGTGCGCGGGTGCCGGGCTTCTTTTGGGCGGGAAAAGGGCGGGGTGCATAGGGCGGCTTTGCGGTGACGGCGTGCGCGGCCAACGCGCCCTTGCTATCCAAATTCGCGTCCTTCTTCCTCGTCACGAAATGGCGAATGTGGTCAAAAACTTCATCCAGTGTCGACTCGGGCTTTTCCTCCATCCTTCGAAGTATTTGGCTTCGCGTTGCTTCGTGTTCGCTGCCAGAAAGCGAAAGAAGTAGTGAAAGAACTTTCACTTCGTTCTCCTTGATGTCGCGCATCTTGGCTTTTTCGTAGGCGAACTTGAGCTGATCGACGTGCTTGGCCAAATCCTCGACATCGCCACCATCAAACTTCATTTTGGAAAATTCGTACCGGCGGGCGATGAGTGACTTCGATGGAACGAAGATCTTGAGGAGAAATGCCACAATTTCAGCGTATTTCAGCTCATTTGTGGTCTTGGGCAGGATAAACTTTGTGAACCTGTCGTACGCCGCCTCGTCCAGCTTCTCGATCAACATCCGAGAACGATCCTCTTCAGAGAGTTCGGCGCCATCCTTCTCGAGCATCGGACCATAGCGTTCATGCCACAGTTCGAACGTCGACTTGTCCTCGTCAAACGAAAACTTCGGCACTCGGGCCAAAATCGAGTCGCGCAGCGCTTGTAGACGCGCCTTGTTCGCGTTCTCTTCCTCCTTGGGCTCGTGCTTGACTGGGGCGGTGACTTGGCTCATCAGCGCGGCCATCTGTTCCGTGATCAGCTTGATTTGGAGGTCGTGCGCTGTCTTATCCATTTCCCTCTGCTCACGTTGACTTTCCATCAGTTGCTGTAGCACATTTTGAAGAGCTTGCTCCATGATTTTCTCGTCGGCTTCAACTTGTTTCGATTTCGCACGGGTAGTCGGGGCCAGCTTGGTTAAATCCCTTCCTTGCGTGAATGTCGAACTTCCTGCTCGCCAGTTGTTGTGTCCGCGAGTGTGCTTGCCTCTTGTGCTTGATGGATAACTTGTGGCGAATAAACGTTAGAAGTTTATTCGTAGCAGCTTCCAGGATAAAAAGGATTAGAGCGATAATTTAGGGAGAAAATCCCATGAGTCGGGAGACATTACGACACGTAATCCGGAGTGATTTGAACTGGGGTGGATTACGGTCACTGGGTCACAGAATAGGCAGTGGGGGAAAAGAGACTAGCTTTTTCTCTCCACAACAGTATTTTTTCAACAAAATTCATAAAGTTTTTGCGTCTAGGAATTCAAAAAACCAGCTTAGAACAAATGCCTCTATCTATATCAACAATATTCGGTCCTATGAAAAAAGTCTCCTGCTATAAAACACCGGACCGCCTCCGTTCCCCCCGATACTGCCTAAGCACCAGCAAAGACAATAAATTACAATCAGTATTCATATAATCATTTCAGAGAAGGCGTCAGAAGCCTTGCTGGTCGTGCCCGCTCGATGCGCCCATATGGGGGACAAAGAGCATCAACAGTCGAAACGGTAAGCAACGTCTTCAACAAGTACACCCATACCCACGAGAAGATGCACGACAGCACCGTGTCAACAACTTCGCATTTAACCTCTGACGTAAAGGACGTCGCACCCAACAAAAGCCCCTCGATTTTGCGCCGCTTCTCCCACAGGTGTGCACTTACCCAGGTTTTTGAGGCAGGAGATTTTTAGGGAACGAAACGGTGTTGGGACGCCAGATTCACCCCGCCGGGCAGTCTACTTCCATAATGACGTTTCGGAACGTAAGTCTGATAACAGTTTAACCACCAAAAATTCCCCTATAGATGAAGAAGACGAAGCCGATGAAGCTGTAAACAAAGCAGCTGAAGAAAACGTGACAAATGTAGAGGTAGAAAAAGAACTGGTTCCGCTCGCCGAACGCTCGTCTCCGGTTGAAGAGTGGTCATCCGATGAGCCGGATGTTGCAAGGTTTGACAAAAAAAAACCCCGTGAAAAACATGTCAATCCAGGTCGAGCTCATCCAGCCCGCAACTCGAGATGAGCCGCTACGACAATGTGACCCCAACGAAGGACTTTAAATACATAATGTAAGGCTTTATGCAATTGTCAACCTCTAGCTCCCGTTCAGAAGGAAAGACTTGTTCCCGACAATCGCCGAAGACAACTCCCAATAATTTACGCGCGACAGCCAAAACCCCCCTTTGATTCTCATTTTCATCAATTGCTTGTCTGTGAATTACGCAACAAACAATTCCGTCTACGGGCCGTGATTTTCCTCAAAAGAAACTGCTTATAAAATGTATTGTTGATTCGGTTCGCATAAAGATGATTATTTTACGCAAGTTTCAAGAAATGCACCATTAAAGGGCTCACGGAATAGCAATAAATATAACCTCTGTCAATCGTGATCACTATCACCGATACGTATGCATCAGTCACTTTCATAAACCTCTTCTACACATCATAAACCTGCTAAAACATCATTTTCTTTCCATCGGAATGAGTTGGTTTTACCGTTTCCGAGAATTCCACCATTACTCACCCATCGAGTACGGCGTGCTACAATTGCCGGGGTTTTCTGTGCACTCTGCCCCAAATTACATTTGGTCATCAGTTTCACGTCGAAGCTTCCGGCCAGCCGGTGAAGCTTATTTCCACAACCCTGTGATTTGATAAACTCCCCTTATTTCACCGAAAAATTTGCTTATCTCAAAACCTTGAGCCGTAGGGACTTTTACTGGTCTTACTGGCCTTTCGCATTTCATTTTGCCCCTCTATCTGGCGCCTTCAATGTTTTATTTTCCAGATGTCCGTACAACAAGTCTTCGTCATTTCACGAGCCGGAAGCTTAATCTACGAGTGGTCGACGCCGGAGACGACGATGCCGAACATTGAACGGATCTTCGACTGGCCCCTGGGTCTACAGCTCGAAAACGTCGACGGAAAACCGGTGGTCGTCTGGGGCTCCGGCGTTCCCCCACGCTACTTTGTTTCCGCTGTCAATGGGATCGCTGTGAACGGGACGAGCTTCACAAAAGAAGATCAAAGAATATCCGTGTTCGACTTCGTCGCTGAGCAATCCAATTACCCGGTGAAACTAGGGTTTTCAATGCCAATGGTCTCCACCAATGAGAAGATCATCCTTTCAAGCACATTCCACTCGTTGTACACGATTGCCGTACAGTTGAGCCCGGCACCTGGCAGCAGCGGAATCGAGGTTTTGGAAACAACACAATTCCGGCTCCATTGCCTGCAATCAAGGACTGGCGTCAAATTCGTTGTCGTAACTTCGTCGGGTGGTAATCCACAAGCCCACCAGTTTCTCGCAAAGCTCTACGAACTCTACGCCGACTATGCACTCAAGAACCCTTTTTATTCCATCGACATGCCGATTCGATGCCATAAATTTGACGACGGTCTGCGAGCTTTGTTAGATAGGATAGGAAAATTTTCTGCTGTTACTGTTTGATTTGCTTTTGACGTGTTCTCCATTGTGCATATTTTCTACGGGTGTGAAAGTGATAAAAGTCTTGTTTAGGATGTCGGAATCGCTGGCGAGGAGCATGGATTTGTCCGACTCGATCTCCCCTATTACGGCACTTTGCGTCGTCGCTGATAAGAACAAGGCGCCTAGAGGATTTACAGCGGTACGTGTTGTCGGAGATTAAAAGTATTGACTGAATTTTAGTTGACCAAATCGAACGATGATGCTTCGGATGCGGACCTTTGGCACGAAAGTTCATTCAGGTGTGTGCATTTAGATGAATCTGTTTAGCTATAGTTTCGCTTATTCGTATCGATTTTTTGATTGCGCTAGTTACGGCCAAAATAGGTTATCTCGTTCGAACCGGTAGAAATTGCTTTTTTAAGATTTTTTCCAATGTTTTGATTTAGCATCTTCTCGCGTCCCGTCCGCTACTTATGTTACAGCCGAGAGAAGCCGAATGCCGCCTATAAGGTTTTCTTGATTTCCTCATTCTCTAAAACGACAATTAGGGTTCAATATCCGTGGTGACGGACATCACGGTTGTCAAGGAAAATGACCCGATACCGCACGGATTCGTTGCTATCGACTACACCGCGGATTCACGTAAGGAATAGGGTTTTTTTATGAAAGTTTTGCATAGGAGAGCGAGCCCTGCGTAAAAGATTCATCTGCGTGAAAACGGAGCCTCTCGACGCCGCGGTCGATGCTGTTGGCGAGGTTTGCGTTCAGCCAGAAATTATAATCTTCTTTAGGTAATCATCCTCAACAAAAACAAGAAGACGCCCAAAGATTACACCAACGCTGGGTATAGAATCTAAAGTTTTCAAATGTGTTATTTTTCCAGCGAGGTCGATGGCGCAATGATTTGCTTCCGTGTCATCGTCATTCCTTCAAACTACGGATTATCGCATAGCGCTTCGTAAGGAATTTTTTTTGTTTTTCTATTGATCCTGATTTAGGGAAAGGAATCTGTCTACAAGCTCGGCCCCCGGTCAAGGATTGTATCCATCAGTTCCAGGTGATTTTCTTGTTTCATTCTGACCAATGTCGTTTTTAGGATTGGGACAACCATCTCACTCAACCTCAGCGCTCTCCCAAGTCGATCCTCTACGTTCGCCGGTGAATGCTTTTACGATTAAGGTGTGTTGTGGTTAACCCATTTTGTTTGATACCTTACGATTATTGGCATGATCTTTTGTTTACTTTACTATTTATAATTGGTACTATCGCATATCGGGGCGGGAGAACCGATTACCGATTCTAGTAACTTATTAGGCGGCAGTTCACTAGTCTTTTCAGTATTTCTATAAACAATCAAAATTTTGAAAAACGAAAACCGAAATTTTTGACAAGAATCGGCCATTTTCGGTCGAAAAATCGATATTCTATATTATTAATAAAAATTGTGTAATTTTTGACGCTGATGTTATTCACAAACCGATTTAGAAGCACTTTCGCTAGTTATTTTAGAGAAATAGATCCTAATACAAATGAGTTGCCCCTCCCTACCCCCCCCCACCCCCGATAATGCGAAAGGACCTGGTAATTTAATGGAAATTGGACGTCAAACACCATGCTCAGTCGTTGAGAATGTATCCAGGCATCTGTTTATATTGTGCTTGACTGTATGCAGCAATTTTGATCCTCCGTTTCTATCCTCTCCTCCATATACGTCGTGTTTTCAGCAATCGAGCACGGGCCCTAAGCCGATAGACGGTGTCGAGTTCAAGGTCAACCCACTTTTTGAATGCAACTCTGGCAAGCATAGGGTGAGTTGCTCAAGTGACTGCAACTTTACGCTAAAAATTTTTTTGGTTTTCTGCAAACCTTTATTTCAGGAAGCCCCACTGCCGCCATTCCCCGAAATCGACCTCGGGAAGCTGGATTCCGACGAATACACCTACCGCTTCCAAATTGAACAGTCCGCCCTGTCTTATTGAGTCGTCGTGTATTTTTGTATTTTTTTTTTGCTGTCCGCTATAGGTATTTTGATATTGTACATACGGGTACTTCTTCCTCTAAGCTGCTTTTTCTGAATAAACTTTGCCTTGCCGGGGAGAGCCGACGAATGCACGCGAGCAGCGATTTTTTCGCTTGTTGGACCGGAAAGCTAATTGCCTCTCACCGGGGCAACGAGAAAACTTATGGCAGGGGGCCATTGGCGGGCCGCGATTCTGGCTTCTCGTCAGGTGGGCCCCCGAAATTGCTGGGGGCAGAGGGGGAAATTACCTATTTTTGGTGATCGATCGTCATTTCCGGAAGGTTTTGGAGTTGGCTTTGCTTTAGAAGTTTTGCTCACCAAAAGTTAGCGAGAAAATGGGCGTTGCGTTACCAAGTTTCTGGCTATGTTTTCTAACCATTTTTACTGTAGTTCACCTGACTATATCCTTACAATCGCGTGGATCAGTTACCTTTCTGTTTGTCTGCAGGCGCGTGGTCGGCGCGGCTTGGGTGCAATATTTGAGGCGGCCCGGGTAAAGTGATATCCCCCCAGCGAACCGGTGGACCCATTTTTTCCACGCGGCCATCCACACGTCGAGATTCTTTATTCATTTTGGGTCGGCGCGCGGGGGCGCCAGTAATTTGATATCGAGGACATTCGAGGTGGAACGTTGGCGGTAGACAAAGCGAATAAATGGAAGTGCCGAGTTTTCTGTTTCATGCCGAGTTTTTTTTTGCTAAATTATCATTTGCCCGTCTTTTGAGCCCTATACGAAATGGCTTACTTGTTGTTCTCGCTGCAGAAAACCGCGTATTCAATACAAACCCCGCCTCTCGGTTTGCAAACCCATTCACCCGTTTCTGAATAGATTCTCCCCGACTTTTCCTTAGTCACTCGTCATCCCAACGCCGACTCATCCGATCCCCTTATCGTATTTCTGCTCGTGGGCGCTGGTTTAAGACCGATTTTTCCGGGAAACGACGAGTCACCGCCATTTTTCGAAAAGTTGATTAGGATCGCTATCGCTGGTGATCAAAATAGATGCAAAATTGGGTAATTTTCCTAGGGCAAGTTTTTATTAAATTGTTTTGTACACTTTTAAAACAGGATTAACTACTCTAAATTCCATACGCCAAAATAGTTGCGATTCCTAGTATTGGTGATCGCTTGAAAACCCTTAAAACCAAGCAATTCGACCTTTTTCGGTTTCCTCCATATGAATCATAGCCATTTTCTGAAATTTTCTTTCCCTGAAACGGCATTCGAGTGATCTCATTGTTGTCATTGTAAAAGCACGGCCCAGCAGGCCCGCATTTTTAGCATTTCTTGCCCTCAATTTTGGTTCTTTATTTCGATCCGGACTACAATCTGCTTCACCCAAAATTTACGCCTTTTTCCGAACGCCTCTAAATGATCCAATTAGACATATTTTTGAAGAAAAAAAATTATACTCTAGGGATGCCATTACAGGGTGGCCCGAAAGTACGTTGACCGAGACTTTTCGGATTTTCTAAAAAACTAGAAGTACAGGCAGGTTCATATTGACATAGGATATTTCGTATACAATTACTTTCAAAATGGTATTATCACTTTTCCTATTGACTGACTTAAATTCGGAAAAACTGGTCGAGAAGGTTACTGAAAATGAGGTGCCGGCACGCGGGTACTCGGCGTCGTATTTGCCCCATAACTCAGCGAAGACTTGCCTGAGGAGGTTCAAATTTGAACGGTAACTAGTCAAGACCTAGGCTTTCAAGACCTATCACACCAAAAAATTTAGCGGGCTCAGGTTCCGCCTACAGAAGGGCGACTATGAGCGATCAAAAAACGCGTGTTTCACAACCTCAATAGCGGCTCCAGACACTTGCGCTTGTGCGAGGGCCCTGAGCCTTCACCGGAAGGTCGTGATTTACCAAAAAGCTAAGCACGCCTCTTAAATGACCGAAAAAGGCAAATATATGTCTTTTTATCCAAAGGGGATTGATTTTAGATTTTACCATTTTCAGGAATTTTCGCCATGTGCTGTGCAATTAAGGGCCTAACGGAAAATTGGGGTTGTGTTGCCTCCCGCGCGCCTGCCCAAATTTAGAAGAGTTGCATAAGGAATACAATCCCTAGACTTGCTTTGCCTGCAACTTCGAGCGCAAGTGTCTGAAGCCGCTATTAAGGTTGTGAAATGCGCGTTTTTTGATCGCTCTTAATCGCTCTTCTGTACGCAAAACCTGAGCCGGCTGAATTTTTTGGTGTAATAGGTCTTGAAGGCCTAGGTCTTGGCTAGTTCCCATCCAAATTTGAACACCCTCGGTTAAGTCTTAGCTGAGTTATGGGGCAAACACGACGCCAAGTACCTGCGTGCCGGCACCTCGTTTTTCTCAATCTTCAATGCCAGTTTTTCCGAATTCAAGCCAGACGATAGTAAAAGTGATAATACCGTGTTGAAGGTAATTGTATAGGAAATAAAATATGTTAATATGACCCTGCCTGTACTTCTAGTTTTTTAGAAAATCCGGAAAGTTTCGAAAAATTTCGGTCAACGTACTTTCGGGCCACCCTGTAGTAAATCCAAATTTAATTAAAAAGATTCCTTTCGTCGTTTTCCGATTTTGCGACTGTTTTCTAGACCGGAAAACCACCACCACCACATCAGCCGCTCACAGCGCGAGCACACATCGTAAAGTGATCGAATTTGCATAATCATACACCTCCGCCCTGTCCTCTATTTTGTGCCCAAATGAACTCGTTTGTCCACTGGCATGCAGCAAGGCTACAGAAACTATGCTTGTCGACCCCCGGATTTGCAGCTAATTGCTTTTGTATATGAAGGTTTGAATGAATGAATGAATGAAATGAATGAAGGTTTTGAAGGTTATGGGATGTTCTAAGGGGGTGATTTATGTATTTTTGTAACTTTTTTCGCGCCATCATTATGATATTGCTGCCCGGGTTAGTTAGGGCGTATTTTTGCCTCTTTAGGGTTCGATCAAAGTGTTGAGAGTCGTTTGGGCATAATAATTTTTTCCTTAGTAACCAATTTTTCAAATATACATAGCGGAAATAGTGTTTCTAAGCCCTTACTAACCCTAAACGTAATGACTTTACAAACGTTTATATCTAGATTTAGATTTACATATATCTGTATAGATTTTGTCCAAAATTAGACTTTTTGTTTCTATGGTTTTTATGGTTGAAATATGGCTATATTCTACTACAAACAATAAAAAATATTTCATATTCAGTTACTAGCGCTTTCTACCCCCCCCGGATAATGTGAAAGTATCAAACTCTGATTTTGAAAATTGACTTCGAATAACTAGTTTTCCAAAAAAACGTTCTGCCGTGTTTTTGACACTTTTAGAGTGCACAATACCCGAAAATCCGAACACTACCAACACTCAATGCCGCCAGACTTGAGCAAACTTGCCGCCCGTCACCCCAAGCATTTTACAGCGAAAACCCCCGGCCATTTCCATGTTGGGAAATGTATTTTGAGGTCAACGGCCCATGTGTTATTTGCAGTGTTGAGGGCCCAGGAGAAAAGGGACTGGGACTTTGGATAGGTCAGAAATTGAGGCGAAAAGCGGGGGGCGGGCCCTATCTAACCCACACAAGTCACACCTTCAGCCCCCCATTCTGGTCCCGTAGCGGGGAGAAACTCTATCTCGTGGTCAGCTTCTCCTTCTTTGGCATCTCCCAGCTACAAATAGTCGGGAGGAGCGGAGAACTGCGGGTTCAGCTTCTGATTAGGGGACTGCTCGGCCTCTGCCCGGTTTGGGTCTGTTTTTTTAGCCTAAACAGCTGTCAATAGGCATTGTTGATCGGTGGATTAAATTATTAGAAGCGGATTTAAAAGGGTTAGGAAGATAGCAGAAGCTGATTAATCTTGTCACACAGGATAAGAAGCTTCGATTTTAGAACTAGATGTGTAGAAAGGCATTCTCTTAGCTGTCCTTGGTTTCTGTTAGCTTAGAATATATATTAGAGTTTACTTGATCTTGTTTCTCCCCTGCCACTTTCTGTTTCTCTCTCTCACTCTCTCGCTATACCTATCGCGCTGTATCATTCTCTCGCTATCTCTCACCGTCTCTCTATCTCTCTAGCTCGCTCTCTCTCTCTCTGTCTCTTTCTCTCGATCCCTTACCTTCAAAATGCCTTTTTATTCCCTAACCATCATGATGAAATGCCTATTTTCACGTTAGCCACACTTCCCAAATCCCATTCACACTCCTCAGTGTACAGTCCAAATAAATAGCACGAAATCCACAGGGCCCTCGACTTTCTGAAACCTATACATAGACGTCTGTTGCTATCACGTTCTCTCTCTCACGACCACAACAAAATACGCGTTGATCCTATTCCCAGTTTGTATATGCGTGTGTGCCCGGGGTTTACGACCCTGGCCCATAATATCACCATCTCTATTGTATTGTGGAAGTGCATTTTCTCTGGCCGACGACCCTGTTCGACTTTTCAAAAGTCAATGCTACATTTTTGCAGAAATGTCGGTTGGGAAGGAGGCGGCGGCATCCGAGTTGCGGGTCGTCTTGTTGGGACCTGTGCAGAAGCATCAATTTGTGAGTGAAAGTCGGGGTTAAATTGAGTGGAAAACTTGACAGATAAGCCGCTAATTACACTGAAAAGGCCCGATACGTAGCTGTCGCGTAAAGCGACTAAAGCCTAACAAGGGAACCTCACGCGGACAGGGTGGAATTTCGAAAAACGCTCGCGGCTACCCCTAGGTAATCGACCATTGCGATCACGATGCGCGTGTCAAATTTTCTGAATGCACCTGTGGACAGAGATACAGCACTTCCGGAAAATGATGGTTTGCATGCGAAAAATTAGCATCGAGGGATGGTTTATTAGGCTCTCCCATCACTATGGAATCACCAGTTGAATGACCGAGTGGTAAGCAACTCGCTTGATAGGATACTGACGAGGGTTCGGATCCGCTCAGGATTTTTTATTTTGCCTTTTTGGGCCAGAAATTTTCGCACAAGTCCAGAACATCGCCAAAATTGATGAAACCCCCCCATACTTTACCCAGGATAATCCCCTGTTTTTTGAAATTTTTTTCGAAAAAATATAGTCCCGAAATCGATGCGGACGGCCATGCATCCTGTGGCACGCCAGAGAACAACAAATTGGCTGTTTTTTAAGAATCCTTGTCTGATCGACTGCACCAGAAAATGCTAGAACGGCACCCCTGGCTCGTGCAAAAATCGACATCTAAAGATTTGGGTCTGATACATTAACTGGTCTGGACTTGTGCAAAAATCTCTGGCCAAAAAAAGCAAAATGAAAAATTGCGAGTGGATCCGAACCCTCGTCAGTATCCTATCAAGCGAGTTGCTTACCACTCGGTCATTCAACTGGTGATTCCATAGTGATGGGAGAGCCTAATAAACCATCCCTAAATGCTAATTTTTCGCATGCAAATCATCATTTTCCGGAAGTGCTGTATCTTTGTCCACAGGTGCATTCAGAAAAATCTGACAAGCGCATCGTGATCGCAATGGTCGATTACCTAGGGGTAGCCGCGAGCGTTTTTCGAAATTCCACCCTGTCCGCGTGAGGTTCCCTTGTAAGCCTAGGCCTAATTGAAGCGAAGCCTAAGCCTAAGCGAAGCCCATGCCTAAGCCTAAGCAAAGCAAAGCCAAGCCACATCCTAAGCTTAAGCCTAAGCGAAGCCCCGGCTGAAGGCGATGGCTAAGCAATGCCTCGACCTAAGCCCAAACTTAATGAAGCCTAAGCCTAGAAATAAGCCTAAGCCTACGCTTAAACCTAATCCCAAGCCCAAGCTTAGCCAAACCTACTTGAAAACGGATGCTTAACTTGCCCCTTTTCTGATCACTTTAAACTTCGGGCAGATGCGATGAGCACATTACCTGTGCGAACTTGTCTCACCCAACTATCCCTCTCTCGAGTCCCCCCCCAAATCACAAACGAACCCACTTTCCCTTTTTCCCGGAAATCTTGCCTCGTTCCCGTCATGTCCATATAGCGGGGCAGTAAAAGACCCATGTGATTTTTTGCGATAACCGTGAAAAGCCGACGGAATTGGGGACGATAAGCCCAAAAGTCAAAGGACCCCTAAAGCAGAGACCCGTCCGACCGTTTATCAGAGATTGCTGGGCGGAGGAATCGGGGGGAAAGAACGCAGCAGCTGTCGAGGCTACTTTACGAATATAAACAAGAAATTAAGATATCATTTACAGTTCAAAAACCTGTGCCTGGCCGCCGACAAATACGAGAAGCACGTCCACTACAATGACGTGCACTATATGCATTTGAAGAAGGGAGAAAATGATGAGGAGGTCCTTGAGGTGTCCGATCCAGGAATGGTAAGTGATTTCCATTGCGTAATCGGTTTAAAGCTACCTTGAAAACCAACGAAGCCAGGTCGAATCAGCGTTTCTAGGCGCACACCGGAAATCGCGAGATGGCCATTCGAAACTGTGATATTGCCCTGATCTACTGCTCCGCAACGACGGCCACCAGCTTTGCCCAGCTGCAGTCCCTCATCCCGGATTTTGAGGCGCGCAAATCCGTAAGTTTCCCTCTTCGGTACTGCGTACACTTTGATCTATGCAAACTGTCGGGTACATAGATTAAACCACCCTCCGTTTCTTCCGCGCATTTTGAGTGCTTTGACCCCGACTTTTTTCTCCGTCTTGCGCAAAAAGGCGACGGCCACTGGGCCCTCGAAATGGCCCTCCCCACTACTATTTGCGCTCCGGGGACTCTGTTTTGTATTCGAGAGGCCAGCCGGGGGAGGCGGCAGTAGACACACGTGAAATTGTGGTATTTTCGGGTTGTCGCGAGGACATCATTTGACGGGGTTCACGCCGAGTTGTGGACGTCTAGGGTTAGTTCGAGGGTCTATAAAGGCTCCTTCGAACACCATAATATGTTTTCGGGTTGTAGAACGGCTCCTGTCGAAAGTAATAGTCCCTCTGCGCCAATTCCTCTACTATAAGATCACGGAGGACGGCTAGAGTTGCCACACTATACTTTGGACTTTGCCCCTTGGGCCCCGCTCGGACAACCCTGCATCCGATAGACCGGGAGATGGCAAGGGATCCCAAGAGGCTATACAAGCAGTAATGTTCAGTGGTAGTTTCTACAATCGTGTAATAGAATCCAATGCATTTCGGTATAAGGATACAAAAGGTATACACAAAGTTTATCGGCATGTAAACCATTAGAATACGAGCACACTCATCGATGGATGGAGAGGGCAAGGTAAAGTGCTGGTCTGACTCGCTGGTCTTAGGCAAAAGATGCTGGGCGTAAGGCAAAAGGTAGCTGGTCTTCTGCTAACGCAATACCCGCACAGACCTGGTCGTAAACCCTAGAGAAATCCGTAAATCGTCTGTTCGGAATAATCACGAAAGCCGCCCGGCCCCCTCTCTCCGAGGGGGCCTCGCGCTACGGTAACGTACAGGTTTTAGCAAACCATCGAACGTTGCAGCATAATGCTCGCAACTTTCGACACTGCCGCCCCAACTCAGCGACTGAGCGGGGCACCACCGAACTGGGGAAGGTATGAGTCGAACCCTTCGACCCAGCGACCGTCCGCGGACTTCGGTACGCACACTGAACCATATACGGTTGCAATGGCGACATCAGTCATGACGGAATGAGTCTGGTGGACTTGAAAGCAGGTGGTCGGAATGCGAACTGGTACGACCGTAGTGGGAAGGCCTTCCGGCCTGAGCGAAAAAAAAGAATTTTGGATGAATTTGGGAAGGCGTTTTGAGTTTCGACCTGACAACCAAGGTGGGACATGGGAAACCGTGTGCAACACGGTATGGGTGGAAAACCAATCGATGGGGGACAAGTAAACAAAAAGCATACATGACCTGATAAAAAAAGTGTTGCTGTCAGCTTCATTGGTACATGGATGTAGTCGTACAGATAGTTGAACCATTGTAGTGGACTTGGAGTGTAGTTGACTTGAGCTGAGCAGCAGGGGCGGTATCAGGCAACAGGAAGATTGACTTTCCACGAAGCGTCATTTACCAGGTTGCTGGGCGTCTACGAAGGCAGGACTGGGCATTGATGGAAACTGGACTTTTGAAAAACTGGTCTTTTGAGAAATTCTGGACGTCTAAAAAACTGGACTTTTGAAAAACTGGTCTTTTGAGAAATTCTGGACGTCTAAAAAACTGGACTTTTGGAAAAGTCTGGGCGTCCCGGATAACGGTCTCTGCGAGCGAAAAGCTGCATTGACCTTCACCGGTGAGCTGGGCTTTGCCCAACAAATGTTGAACGCTGCATAAGCAGTGCTGGGCTTACCTCGACCAGATCCGTGACTCGCCAGCCGAGAGGATGCACTGGCGGCCGCGATTACTAACTCCGCTGACGTATCATTGGAAGAATTCATCGTGGTTGGACGCGCAATGTGTAACTCAGGCCGGCGGAGGATCTGAATTAAAGGTAAACACACCCTCCAAAAAAGGAGAGGTGTGGGCTGGGCAACTGGGCTTCCACAATGATGATTGCTGAGAAATGTAATTCTCGAGCGTGCAAAATTCAGCGGTAGGTACATCGCTCGCATATAGCGAAGGTTGACGCCCGTTGCTGGACCAGCGGCGGGAAAGCCGCGAGATTTTGCTCATCCATTGTGGGGTGCGTAAGGTTACGCAAAAAAACTGCAGTCAGGCAAGTAATGCGCTGACTGCCTGGGCTTCTGGGCGTCTGACATCAAACGATGTCCTCGTGTCGGTGCAGACCAAGCGGACGCACTTGTCGCGCCGGTGCTCCGACACGAACTGGGCTTAGAATACAAATCACGTAGCGGATTGGCAAACCTATCACGACAGCAATTGCTGGCTACGGAAAGGCTGGGCCATAAAGCACGGGAACAAACGCAACCTGATCCTGATCGCAAAACATCACATCGGGCCACACTGCTTGACATTTCCTTTGAAGAGTTGTGGCTCCGTCGCAGGCGGTTCTCACGGCGATCGCATTCGCACTCCACCATAATCGGGACGTCTACACGACGGGCTCCACAGTAATGAGTGCGTTGCATGATCCTTCGGTTTGTTCCCATGGTCCCAGCTTTCTTGAAATGTATTTGCTGGGCAATGGGCAGGTGGCGTTTCTCACCACATAAAGTGGATAGAAAGCGGCCACCGCTTGCTGGACGACTGGGCATATAGTGGGTTTTCAAGCCACACTATTTGAACTAGTAATAAGACAACAGCTCTCGAAGAGGCTGATGACTAAAAACAAATTCATCTGCTGGGCTTCAGGGCGTTATAATTGCCCAGTATTGCTGGGCAACGAGTTTGAAAACTCAAACTCGAACTCTGGATCGCTCGTTGCTGACAGCAGACGAGCGAGGACCGAGTCCGAGGCTGGGCGATTCCTCCCAGGATGAGCTGTTCCACAGCTGCAAGCCGCCTGACGCTGCCTTCAGTACGCAGTTGCGTAGCGCCATTGACGATGAAGGGCAAGCTCCAGACGACAAGCAGACTTGAGGCCACCCTGCAGCCTCCTCGAGAATGTCCGATGTGTTCAGAACACTCGAGAGCGTGCCCGGAAACCGGGGCCACCGCAATAGGCGAGAGTGAAGCTTCAATCCTGAAAGGAAACTAATTTCCTTTGTGCGTACGCGAATCGCTACTACACGCAGGAATGCTGGGCAGCAACTGTCGTTTCCGACAGGGCAAATGGCTTTTATTGCGAAGTCAAGCGCGAAACGCGATTAATTATCTTCGCAAGAAAAAGTGGCATTTGCACTTCTGGGCATTGTGTTCGTCGCGGACGCAACTTGATTGTCACAAAACAACCAAAAAGGATGTTTTCCCCGCGAACGAATGCTGGACTTTTGTCAATTGACCGTGTATGTGAAGCGCATTTAGCAAACGCGAGACGGAATAACACGCCAAGGTCGCGAATGGCTTCACACACACGTGCTGGGCTACGCAGGGTTGCAGGTTGCTGGACATTGGTTGAACCTTGACGCTGATGTTGAACTTCGAAAAGGCTTGCAGTGCAGCAGCGTTTTCTTGTTGTATTCTTGCGTGTCCTCACATCCTGAGCAGATCTTGTCCCGCGTGTCGCATCCATTACTGGAGCTTCTTCTTTATGGCAGAAGAAAGCCATGCTGGGCCGCCTTACTGCTTTCTCCCTTAAACTCACGAAATAAGGTCATTGAAAGTCAATAAGGACGCGAAAGTTTGTTGTGTCCAACGCACGGGAATGCGAGAACACAAATACGCCTCGCCAAAAGCGTAAAAACTTTCGAAGAAAAATGGCGACTGGGCGTGGAAATGACAAAAATGTCATAGCTGGGCATTATGCGACCTTACGGTGCGAAAGCTGGGCGGAATACAACAAGCGTCGCAGGAGCAACCGGAACTCAGCCTCGTAAGCAACGAACAACGGCGGGCTCCGGGGGCGCATCGATGATGACTGATCCATAACTATTTGCGTTGCCGTTTGTTCCATACTTGACTTGACTTCCTTGAGCTTCTTGCGGCCCTTGATGCATTCTCTAAATACTGGGCGTATTTTTGTCATTGCTGACAGGAACGAAGGATCAAATACTGGAGCAGGCTTAATAGACGTAGTCCATCTCGCTCCGTCAGTATATGACTCAACGCACCCTGGCTGGACATTGCAAAAAACAACAAAGGTTGCTTGCGGCTGGGCGAACCACTTCAACACACAAATACGACGCGATGATCTGCTTCTCGCCAAGCCTGCGCTTTAGGGATCCGCATCACACCCGATCACAATTGTTGTTGAGTGTTTATGCTGGGCTTAGGTGAGCAGATACCCGCTGTTTCTCCGGGCATCTGGGCTTTACAGATCGAAATCTGTTTTCATTTATGGCAGCGAACTACCACAAATAAAGCTGGGCTAGTTCCTTGCGGAACTTTTCTCGATGTGTCCATCCGAAGATGGAAGGACAACGTTCAATAAGCGGCAAGAATTGCCGCAATATTGCCGCAGTCACATCGATTTGCTGGGCTATGTGGCTGGGCGTGGTGGGCTGCAACAAACCCCGAATAGTAAAACTATTCGTTGCGGTGGGCCGGGTGTTATGGCAACATCACCGCAATGAAGAATCTGGGCTTGGAAAATGGAAACGTAACCTGCTCTTGTCTGTGGAAATATCCCGTCGGCCCGGTACCATCTTCAAGCTCGCGTTAAAAAAGCGGCTCGAGCAGCAAAAGCCATTTCCATAGCTTGACGTTGAATTGGTGGACGCGGGAGTTCATGGGTCATTTCAGCATCGACTTGAGCCGGCAAGCATCTCATCATCCAGCCAAATCTTCTTTGTTCACAGCGCTGGGCTTTGATTTGGCAAAGGGGGGCGAGTAATACAGCACTCGCCGCGCACATCGCCAAACCATGCTGGGCTTTTTAGTAAAAAAAGGCAACGATGAGGGCAGGCAATAAGCTCCGCGCGCAAACATCATTGACTTTTACTACTCTGGACTTGCAAAAACTCTTATTAGTGAAGGCGAGCGGTTAGCCATATCGCACAGTCACCTAAAAAGGTTTTTGCGCTGGACTTCTGGGCGTGTGAAGATATCTTACATGCTATTGGCTGCGGGCAGAGCCGACACGCACAACCACTAACTGTAAGAGACTCCTGCTGGGCATGAAGAAAAAGTTATAACGGTGAAGGCGGGCGATAGAGAACCGCGCGCATGCACGGCCAAGACTTTCCTACTGGACTTTGGAGCTTTTGGATGGAAAAGCAATTGAATAGTGGCGGCGGCACGAAGCCTTAGCACACAAACACCGCTAAAAGCTCTACTGGGCGTTGGAAAGGAAAAGAAATTGAGCCGTGCAGGGCGGCAAAGCACCGAAACGGCTAAAACTTCTTTCCAACTGGGCGTAGCTCATTCTGGGCATCGCAATTTTGCGTAAAAGCGCAAAATTACATCGGAAAATTGATTTCTCCAGCAAGAAATAATGGAGGAATACGAATAATGAGCAATTCGTAGCAAAGGATGAATAGCAAAGAAGATACGGGCCGAGACGACGCTCACTGCGGGGCTTTTCAGCCCAAAAATTCGGAAACGCCGCCCGGCTGGCAGGGGCACAGTGAGCTGCGGCCCCGCGCAGACGTGCTAGAGCGAGCCAAATACGCAGCTTCCCGAAGTGCTTCATGCAAATCCTTCTTGTTTCTCCTTCTTGAACTGAAAATTGAAAAATTCGCCGATAGCTGGACGTGAAATAGGTGCTGATAACAGCACGCTGGACGTTTAGACCTATATAAATCGCGACAGCGAAATATAATCGGCCTGCTGGACATCTTGGGTCTCGAAAGCAACCCTCTGGGCTTACTCCTATCGCCAACCCGCGAGGCGAGATCCACGATCGATGTCCGCCGGCTCTCTAGAGTTAACTAGAAGAGAATTCCAGGCTTGATGATCGTAAGAACGTCACGGAGATCGGGCAGATCGGAGTTTTGCACAGCTTTTGCTGGCCTGGACATTGTAAAACAGCACTGGGCTTCGCAAGAAAGTTATTACCGTGAGGGCAGACAATATAGCATCCGCGCACAAGCACGACAAAAACTTTCTTTGGCTGGGCATGAAGAAGAAGTCTTCGCCATGAGGGCAGACAATATAGCATCCGCGCACAAGCATGGCTAAACTTTCTTCGCTGGACATTGATTTGACAATGAGGGCAAACAATATAGCATTCGCCACAAACATTGTTAAATCATGCGGTGAACAAAGATTGTTCAACCGCAAGCATTGCCGAAACAAATGCTTGCTGGGCTTATCACCTGACTTGCATCTCAAAGGTACAGGAATCGCGATCAATTTGTCCCAAGATCCCAGCTGTTGAACGTGGAAACATGATCGAGCGACTTCCTTCTATCGACGGCTTGACATTGCTGACTTCCGCCTTGCTCGTCTTGTAGATGCATGCAGCGGTCGGTGTTTCCTTTTGAGAAAAGGAAAAAACTTGCTGGACTTTTCTCCCAATAAAGGGGGATAACGAAAATTTCGTTCTGGGCGTTAGAAAAGGATTTAACCACGGGGGCAGACAATATAGCATCCGCGCACGCTCATGGTTAAGCTTCCTTTTCGCTGGACGTAAAGAAGAAGCTATCGTTACGAGGGCAGACAATATAGCATCCGCGCACAAGCGTAACGAAACTTCTTTGCTGGGCATGAGCATGATAATGAGGGCAAACAATATAGCATTCGCCACAAACATTATCAGCCCCGCGGTGCGAAACGCATTCGACCACAAACATTTGACAGAACAAATGTTTTGCTGGACTTTTTACCTTGCTTTCATCAAAACGTTTGTAATTCTGGATCCCTTCATCCAATACTTCCATGGCTTGATCGAGGAAACTTCATCGCAGGCGATGCATCAGCTTGCGGCGTTTCGATCGTCGACTCCTGCCTTGGTTTCTGGTGGAATCTTCGGCAGCAACGGTGTTATTCCTTTTGAAAGAAGGAATAAACTTGCTGGGCTTTGCTCCCAAAATGAGAGGAAAACGGAAATACCGTGCTGGGCCATTATAAAACGTTTTCTGGACGTAAAGCTGGGCATGAAAGAGTTTTCCTTATCGAAAAGGAGAAAACTCGCTGGGCTTTTGTTAAAAAAGCTAAAAAAAAGTTAAATAAGTGAGTGACTAGTAAAAGAAAACTAGGAAAATTAGAAAAACTAGTATTGAGAACGAATTTACAGGTGGGGGATTGAATTTACAGAAAGGGGGAAACCGAAAAAGACGAAAACACGAAAGACTAGGGTGGGAGGACCATGCCCGTAAGGGCGTGCGCACGCGCAACAGGGTTTGCCAAAGGGGCGAGCGAGCCGACACCAAAACGCGTGCCCAAAGGGGCTTTTGGAGAGTATGACGATGCTGTACAGCGCATACTCGTATTGAAAACAAAAGAAAACATTACCTTCTACTCCAAGTACTGTTTGAAAAGCAGCAACCTTCATTCCATGACAGTCTACAGACCTTGTCAGGCATCAAAGCAGAGAACAAAGCGGTTTTTCTACAGAAAAACCTCCGGAATAATCTACAGACTAAATCCGGCGTCTCTACGATGAAGGCAGTCGGCTGGGCTTGACAAAAGCAGTCATGATTGCTAGCGCAGTTTAAAGAGTAGAAAATCTTCCTCCGCGAGCAGTCTACAGACCGTGCTGCGGCATCTCTTGCAGGGAAGGCAGTTGTTTCCAACCTCCAGGTAGTCTAAAGACCGTACCAGGCATACACCTGCAGAGAACTTGAAGAGATCTCTCCGTTGTAAAAGCATCAACCACGATCCACGGCGGTCTACAGACAACACCGGATGGTATGATGGCTGGGCTTTTGAGTCTTAGCCTTGGAGCTGAAGCTCAGTTTGCTGGACGTTGGCTAGCGCTAACAAACTAAAATGAAATAGAAAAGTACTGGACTTCTGTTCTGGACATTTTGCCGAGTTTTGGACCGATTGCAATGGAATTCTAGACCCGAATTTGTATCCCGGCCGACGCACCATGTCGAAAGTAATAGTCCCTCTGCGCCAATTCCTCTACTATAAGATCACGGAGGACGGCTAGAGTTGCCACACTATACTTTGGACTTTGCCCCTTGGGCCCCGCTCGGACAACCCTGCATCCGATAGACCGGGAGATGGCAAGGGATCCCAAGAGGCTATACAAGCAGTAATGTTCAGTGGTAGTTTCTACAATCGTGTAATAGAATCCAATGCATTTCGGTATAAGGATACAAAAGGTATACACAAAGTTTATCGGCATGTAAACCATTAGAATACGAGCACACTCATCGATGGATGGAGAGGGCAAGGTAAAGTGCTGGTCTGACTCGCTGGTCTTAGGCAAAAGATGCTGGGCGTAAGGCAAAAGGTAGCTGGTCTTCTGCTAACGCAATACCCGCACAGACCTGGTCGTAAACCCTAGAGAAATCCGTAAATCGTCTGTTCGGAATAATCACGAAAGCCGCCCGGCCCCCTCTCTCCGAGGGGGCCTCGCGCTACGGTAACGTACAGGTTTTAGCAAACCATCGAACGTTGCAGCATAATGCTCGCAACTTTCGACAGCTCCTGAAAGCTAGTTTTTTTGCGGCAGCTTGACTAAAATGTGGCGTATAAGCCCCCCTTCAGCCGCTCTTCTGATTGTCAGCTTAGAAATCAGAATTTGACAATCCAAAGGCACAAAAAGGCGATTTCTGGAACTCTCCACCCTTATCAGCCAGCTTCTCCTTCTGCCTGCCATTTTCCGGAAATACCTCGCACCACACGATTTCACAACCTTGAGTCAGTCGGCACGAAATTCATGCTGACAAAATCCCTAAAAAACGAGGGTCCAGAGCAAACATTGGAAGGGGGGTCCGCAGAGGGTTTGGGGCCAAGAAAGCGGAGCCGGACTCTGACCACCATCAGACCGATCGACCCCCCGTTCGATATCGGGGCAAATAGTGGAGGGGTGAACGAGCTGGCTGGGGAATTTTTGAGGATTTTTCGATAATTTAAATTTACGACTCCAATTTCGCACCTAGTTGGATGCTCAGCAAAATCCCGCCTCGGTTCGTATAGATTCGATCCCACGGGAATTTGAGAGGGGAGGCCGACGGTTTTTCAAGTCTAAAACCACCCAAATCACGCCCAAAAAACCCTAATTTCCGCGTGGGCCGCGTCGAGCCAGGTGACTGGGCGGCTAATTAGGTTCAAGGAATTGTATTTACCCGATAGGCCAAAGAGGATGGGGGGCAGAATTAATCAGCAGCTACGAACCAAGGCCCAGGTCAAATACTAGATAATTTTTAGGCAAACAACCATAGTTAAAACCGGAAAACAATACCTAAAATGTAGCTTTCCAGGTACCAGTCCGATTCTTCTTTGACACTGATGACGTAGCCATTGAAGATGAAGATGGATCCTCAACGGGAATTTCGTCAGTATCGGAAGGTAAGAGATTTTCTAACTCGTTTTCGGGGTATGAAGTAGCATAAAGCGATACCAATTAACACCTAACATACCCCTAACCTTACTAACACAGCTTCTCTAGACGACCTCCCAAATACCGGATCCAGTTCACCGGAGGAAGGATTTGTCGAGGGTACGGTACTAAAAACCGGCTTTAAAGACTACCAGAACGATGGAACGCGCACTGTCACCCCGAGGGTGCTGCCCCCAAGAACGCGCGGAGAGATGCGTCATTAGTGGTGCTCCGTACTGGGCAATGGCCCCTGGGGTTTGGGGCGTCTCTGACTCCCTTCCCCACTTGGCCCTGTGGTGTAGTGGCTAGCGCGTCGGACTGTGGAGCGAACCATCGCGGGTTCGACTCCCGCCCGGTGCGCAACTTTCTTGCTCTCAACGGAATTTCATCGTTCTGACGGTCTTTAATCCCCATCCCCCTTTGTGAAAATTGTCCGTCAATCCCAAACCCTTGTCTTGTCACTTTGAGCACACCTTACCTCCTAAAAAATTTGATTTCCAGGATATGAATCCGATCCGGAGAGTCCAGAACGGATGAGGCGGCGAAACTCGATGGAAAAGATTCGGCGCCTGAATGAGGATGGCGTAGTGACGATTGAGCAGGTATTATAAAAAGTTTATCAGTAGTTTTAATTGACATTATTTAGGTTAACGAACTGTCGGAAAAGTTCGGAAGCGACGTGCGCGTCGACCAAATTGCATCGAGCCAGATGGACAACACCCGAGAGTTGCTTGAAGTCATTGCAGAGGATGCCATCAAGAATAAGTAGGTTAAACCCAGGCGGAAGTCTAATCTTAGCCTAAAAATAAGCCTAAGCCTAAGCCTATACCCAAGCCCAGGCTAAGCCTAACAAAAAAGGCAGTGTCAGATATTACGTGTAATTTTCAGGAAAAAGACGGTCTCGAAGCGACGCCTCCTCTCGCTTGGCGGGAGCAAAAGCCGCGAGAACTCAAAGTCACGCCACAACTCTTCCGAGTCCAAGGAGGAGGACAAGAAAATTGAGAAGCAGGGCAGCAAGAAGGAGCGAAAGAACTCGCAAAAGGACAGCAAAGTTTGCTCGATTATGTGATTCTATGGCGTTTGCCGTCAAGGTTCTGTGAGAATACTTTTTACATTTTCGGCTCAGTTTTTAACGTCGTCTTTGTAGATTAGCATTGGCAATAGCCGGATTTTCCCTATTTTTGATCCCCAAATTTGTTTAATTTGTAATACTTATGCACGGGTCCATTCAGCAATTCCTGGATCCAATCCCCCTAGTCCTCAAACATCACCCATTTGTGCTATTTGTTGACCCGGTCATTCTCATTTATCTAGCTTCACACTTGCCCTGATCTCGATTCCACAGTAATCCACATTTTCCGGTGTTTCCCCCGCAATCTCCCCGGTGACAACAACAGTTTCATCTTTACTGGTCACCACGATAAAATATTTGAAAAATATTTGAAAACCTTGCGCCTAATAATCATCCTCGTCGTCGTTGTGGTTCGGAGTCTGGATCTCCACGTTGGCGTCCCAGTTGCTGGCGATGATCTAGGAGGAGGAGAAGTACGGTAGAAACATATTTCCGGTAAACAAAAAAGCCGACATTACAAAGCCGGCTACAAAATGCCGTCAACCGAAATAGGCCGCAGGAATTACGACGTTCGAAAACCGGCTGCAAAAATACCGACAGCAAAAAACCGGCTGCGAAAATGCCGATATTAATGGCGCTGCCAAACTGCCGACAACCTAACTGACAGAATGCCGACAGTAGAAAATCGATTGCAAGAATGCCGATATTCAAATTCTATGGTGATAATGCCGAATGGAAATGCTGACAGTTTGAAGTTAAACGTTCATTTCCATATGAGCATCTATTACTGTTTCTGAATATTTTGACCTGTACTCTCTGAACCCGCTGTCGACATTTTTTTGATTGTCGGCATTTTCGTATTTCGGTAGTTGATTTTTTGGAATTGTGAACGTCGGCATTATTGGAGGCACCCACCTTAAAGTTGGGGCTCAACACCCCGGTGTCCGGGTTCTCAATCTCCACGTAGTAGTACGTCCATTGGTTCGTCTCGTCCAGTCGAATGCCCTAAAAATACGATCGCGTTTAAAGGGGGATCTTAAAGAAGTGATGAGATTAAATTGACCTGCATAGCCCCCGTGCCCTCAATCTTTTCCCAATCGTTCTTCAGGTCGGCATCGTCAGTAAAATACAGGCTCCAATTGTCCTTAACCGAGATTAAAATCTGGTTTTTTTTCAGGATACCTTAATTCCTAGCCAATCGCGCAGGCGATCGTCGATGTTTACCATGACGCTACCGTCGTCAAATTCGGCCGAGATCAGATTGTCGCGCCAATCTGGGCGCAGTCCTGAAATTTGAGCGTTTTATAATGGGTATTGTCTCACTTGGAATCACTTCCAGCACTACCCTCCACATTGTCGCGCCAGCTGGTGATTGCGCCCTGCAATTTTGACGTTTAATCGGCATTTTCCTTGTCGTTTTTTGCACATTTTTCTACTTACGTGCATCGGAATTCTGTCCTCGATGTGATGTTGTATACTCGCAAGAAGTTTTGCCCTCGGTGTTGGACGTTTTTGAACTGAAGCAGGATTTTCAATCAGGTATGGTATTGGTATCTTTCTCTGATTACTACAAACCTTCAGATCGTCAGCCTTCTCATGCGGGATCCATTGGACGCTTGGCTCCGGATCTCCACTTCCATTGCAAGCTAGCGTTATCCGAGATCCAGGCAAAATGTCGAGTCTAGTGAGCCCATTGTCGGTGGCTCGCGTTGGGTGTACGTGGACGCTGGGGTTTGAATCTAGAGTTTACCGTTAAAGCGCGCTTCAAAAGTGCGCTACGTGGTCGCCTCATGGCGCTGTAAGGTATGGCACATAGAATGAGACAGATGGACAGAGAGAGAGAGAGAGAGAGAGAGAGAGAGAGAGAGAGAGAGAGAAAGAGAGCGAGCGCGAGAAACAAGGAAAGCGAACGTGCGCTTTAAAATAGTTTTTTTGAACAGTATTTCCTACTCGGATTCCAGCGCGGTGCTTGTGTTCTGATCTCTGGAACGTAAGGAGTAGTCGGTGGTCGTGTTCTCGGCGTTGTTGTGGTTGTCGTGGTCGTCGTAGTGGTCGTGGTGGTAGTAGTAGTTGTGGTAGTAGTGGTTGTAGTCGTTGGGTGTGTCCTCGGCGCGAAGGTGGTTGCTAATAAAAAGATATTTGGCTGACGCAATTAGCACAAAAAAAAGCAAAGTTAAAACCGTGTTTCTCACTTGTAACGGGCACCGTGGGTCTAGTAGCGGCCGTGGTCGTGGTAGTAGTTGTTGTGGTCGTAGCAGTAGTCGTCGTAGTGGTGCTACTGGTTGTCGGCGTTTGATATACTCGTGGAGGTTCTAAATAAGCGTGTTTCTCAAGACTGTTTTCAAAACCTCGATACGGATCCGCCGGCTCGATCACAATTTCGCGACTGTCTGAAAATGAGGTGACTTCTTAGAGGATACCATACCAAAGAACGGTTGCGCTGTGCTCGGTGTCGTTTTGATGATCCACTGGGTGACGGGGAAGTTTGGTGGCGTTGCTAAACGGTTTTTTCCAAATATGAATTCGATGAATTTATGTTAGTCGAGCTGCATGCAGTACGTTTTGGTCGTCTCCTTCTTTGCGGTTTGGTGACCCTGTGTAGAAAACCGGTGAAACCGTGCGCGCCCTGCTCATCCTGGTGTCGGATGGCGAACTTTGGTGGGGGATAGGTGGCCTGGTAGACCCAGTGGCCGATTGTTGTCGTCGTCTGATAGCGGCGTGGATAGGCGACTAAATAAAGGAGAACATGCTCATGCTCACGCGAAGACGATGTGGTTGCAGACTAACCCTTCGGCCGTTGTGTTGCCAGCGGGTAGTTTTGATGTGGCGATCCTGAAAGCACGCTCAAATCCAGGCTAAGTTTTGCCTAGGCGAAGGCCAAGCAAGCTTAAGTCTAAGCCAATCCTAAGTCTATCAAATTACCTCTAACATTGACCCTTATTGTCCTGCGATCGGTCCCCACTTCGTTTTGCGCCTAAATTCAATTTTCGATGCCTTCACCTTCACCCACCTCGCAGGTAAATTTCGAGCTCTCCCTCAACCCCCACATGTGCATCTTGGAAACGGTACTGCGCTCGGGTTTTGACATGATCTTATTTCTAAAGCAAATTGTTCCAGAGCCTTTAGAATCAGTACCCATGCAGCCATGTAATAGTCGCAATTGGATCAGCCGTAACGTTGCAAGTGATGTCAAGTGGTGCACCAGGCTCGATCGTTACCTCGTCACCCTCCAGAATTCGGATAGACGGCCCGACGGCTAAAGCATTCGTCATTTGAGGGGTATTACTTGCTCAAACGTACCAGCTGGCCTTGTGGTAACGGAAATAGGATGGCTGATCAGACCCGGACCTCGCGTATCGAACGCTCTCAACTTCACCCAGTATTGCGTCGATGGGTGCAGGCCATGGATCGTGATTTCACGAGCGTGTCCTAAAGAAATTATCGTGCTTTTTTGCTTTCGATACCATTGGCATAGTCGACTTTCCATTGCTCCAGCGGCAAATGTTCATTTTCCGAGTGGTAGATGGCGCATCGTGTGATTGGGCTGTTGATGACCAGCGGTGGATCCCATCGGAAATAGATCGAATCCCGGTTGGGCCGTAGGGCAGTGAGGATTGGTGGTGTCCCGGGGCCTTTAATGGAATTAGAGCTGAATTTGCGTATTTTTAGCTACCTGCAACCCGGATTTCGACAGTCCGTTGAACCTTGCCCAACGGGTTTGACGCGATGCAGGTGAACCTGAAAGTAGGGCCAAACCCGAAAAGTACGGAAATTTACCTTTCCGTACGATACAAATTCTTGATGATCAGATACTGCTCACTCATAAAGGCGAAGGGGTTCTCATTGATGTTCGGGACCGGTTGGTTTTGGCTGAAAAACGGATAGAGTTGTCCATTAAGAGTGTTTATCTGATGTAAACGGAATCCAAGATTCTACCTGATCCAGAACAACCGCGGAAAGGGATACGAAACGGCCGAGCACGTGATATTGATCCCCTCACCCGGTGCAACCTCGTACGGACCATCCGGAGTGATCGTCATCCGTGGCGCTCCTTTCCGAACTAAAGAGAGCTTTAAGCGGCAGTTAAAGAGCATCTTCTACCCTCTACTGGCTTGTCCTTCGCCCCCCTTAACTTACCGTAACAACTCGGCTGACTTGGGCAACGACAATTCGCCTGCTCCTCGCTGATGATGGCGCACGAACAACTGCCCAAACTGTCGCAACTTGCCGGTGGGTTTTCTAAGCAAATATTTCCACATGTAGCGGAAATACTCTCTCTCTCTCTCTCTCTCTCTCTCTCTCTCTCTCTCTCTCTCTCTCTCTCTCTCTCCCTCTCTCTGTCTCTCTCTCACTCTATCTCTTTCTTTCTCTCTCACTCTCTCTCTTTATTTCTCTCTTTCTCTCTCACTCTCTCTCTCTCTCTCTCACTCTATCTCTTTCTTTCTCTCTCACTCTCTCTCTTTATTTCTCTCTTTCTCTCTCTCACTCTCTCACTCTCTCACTCTCTCTCTTTCTCTCTCTCACTCTCTCACTCTCTCTCTCTCTCTCTCACTCTATCTCTTTCTTTCTCTCTCACTCTCTCTTTATTTCTCTCTTTCTCTCTCTCACTCTCTCACTCTCTCTCTCTCTCTCTCTCACTCTCTCTATATATCTTTTTTTTGGAGCAACATTTATGCAGCCCCGGTTATATACAGGTAAGCCCGCACGCGATATTTACAGGGCTACAGAACACACCTCTAAATGTTGCCGCCCATCCAGCTGCAGCCAGCAAGGCCAAAAGCCCGCCGGTTCGGCTGATGCCCATCGTTGAGGTATCTAAATTCAAGGATTTAAAAACTGGTACGCCACCAAGACGGGACGAAGAAAAAAAGGTGAACTTTCAAGATTTGATCAGGAAGTGTAACGCGTCGGAAAAAGAGTGCAAAAAGCCGATCTAGAACGGATTCACGGGGACCGAAAAACGGGCAGTGCACGTCGAAAGGAGAGTATTATAAACAGTCCGGCCCCCGGCAAAAAACGCCCGAGGCTCACAGATGGCAGACCAAAGGCTGGGGTGTGTCTGTGCGTGCAGTTTGATGGGCAAAGCCCAGCGCGATGTCGAAATCGTCGTGGCATAACTTTAAACCGTTAAACTGAGGGCTCGCACGTTTTCAGGAAATGTTTCAAGAAACAACAACCTGCCCAAGACTTCCTCCCCGTCCCATCTGCTGCTCCCCCCATCCCAACTTTTAGGGGTGGTTCGTCGTAAAATTTGAAACACATGCAGCCCTGTGTCTGTTCTGGTCGGGCCCGGTGCTCTTTGAACGTTGACCATCTTTTCAGTTAAAAAATGTTTGTTGGAGTGCAAACATTCAGTTTTAATGACAGTATAGGTTTAGGAATAGGTATCGAACGTATCGAAGGTGGCGTTTTCCTCAACGGATCGTCAGCTTTTTTCGTCACGCCAAAATGCAGCTGGCCAGAACGGTGATCAGAGACTAGAAGCCATTTTATAAAGACAACCCCGAATATGGCAGACCTTGTGAATACATCATACAGACTATACTGTGAATGATCATCGCGGTGGCGAGAGAATGACTTTCCAAAGCCCATCGAGACATTTTTTTATTATTTTGGGACGTCCCCATTTCGAAAGTGTTGTGCAAGGCATCCGCCGACACTTCGTAGATAAGGCGAATGAATTCAGGGGTGGTGCGTGTTTCGATGGCTTGCACAAACTATTACCCGAAGGGGCTCCAGAAAAGGGAAAGGTCCCTAAATGTTGTTTGCTATTCAGATATTCGATCGCGCTTTGAAAAAGATTTAATAGTTTCGGACTCGCAACTTAACGTCGAACGAGTGCTGTGCTCTTGAAACGCTGTCGATCTTCTCGTGTTGGGAAAATATTTATTCGCGTAAATCAGGGATTTTATTGGCACTACAATCGAGATTATTCAGGAATGATCGGTGTCGAAACGAAATAGTCATTCGGCCCAATCATCTTCGGCTTGGTCGTTGATATTCATCCATTCTGGGAACCATTCACGGAAGTGATCCACGGATAGGGCACCACTACAAGAAAGTTTCTGAAAAAAGGCTCGAAAACTCACCTTCCATTTTCCTCATTATTTAGTACTATAGCAAGCGTAGCAAATTTGTAGCGCAATTCATGGTCAGCCGGCCCGCGGAGACACATATAAATGAATGGCCGCTGTTCCTGGAGAATTACATAAGGTCACGTGAATTGGTATCATAATGTCGAAAATCATAATGTCGAAATTTCATAATGTCGAAATTTCATAATGTCGAAATGTCATAATGTCGAAATGTCACAATGTCGAAATTTCATAATGTCGAAATTTACATAGGCTAATTACCGGTGAAACCGGCAAATCCTAGCCAAAAAAAAATTTTCCACATTCATTTTTTTATCTTATTTCACGACAACATTTTTTGCCTAGAATTCGGGGACTGTACCGGGAATTTTAGCTTATGTAAATTTCGACATTATGACATTTCGACATTCTGACATTTCGACATTAGGACATTTCGACATTATGACATTTCGACATTATGACATTTCGACATTATGACATTTCGACATTATGAAATTTCGACATTGTGAAATTTCGACATTATGAAATTTCGACATTATGAATTTCGACATTATGAGTTTCGACATTCTGAATTTCGACATTTGGAAAATAAGCCAGGTCACGTAGCACACGAAACTAACCTGATTGTCACTGAAGTACTCAGCCGGGAACTCGAAGCAGAATTTGACAGTGCTTCCGGCGGGAATTTCGTATAAATTAGAGTTTCTCTGAGCCGAGTATTTGGGTTTCCACTTTCTACTAACCTGTGGAACGACGAGAACAGCATCCGTGATAATACGCGAGACGACTTGATATTCCGTATCCATATGAGGATGGCGCTTACTGAAGTGGATGGTAAGTCTTCCAGCCGTCTCATTGATAATGCCAAAACGAACATGCCCGGCGTCCTAGTCGTACTCTGGAATCAGATTTTTTTTATTGTTCACTGTTTTCATTGTTCGGATCAAAACGTCATGTGAAACCAACCTTCCCAGTTGAAGATTCCGTCGTCTCTAATGCCGGTCCAAGGCCCATCTTTTGGATAAGAATGGGTCTTTTGAAGGTCTTTTAAATATGTAGCTTGATCTAGACCCAGCTCGACTAATTTTGGTTTGAGCTCTTCAAGGAATTTCATAGCAGAAGAGCAATATTTCATCGATACAGACGAAGGGCAGAGGGGCATAATGATCTGGTGAACCAGTTCAGGCCTTTTATACACTCCCTTATCAGTAAGCCCATGTTTGCCTGGTTTGAAACTATGGCGTAAGGCGCCCAGACCCGCCGAAGCTAGCGACCGCCTCGATAACCTGGTGGCTGAAATAAGGACCCGGTGATTCAGACTAACTAGGCAGAGAGACAGAGCGGGAGGGAGAGAGAGAGAGACTCATCATGGCGGATAGGCAGAATGAGTTGCAAGGCGACAGTTTATGACTTCAAGCCCGGCTGTTATCAGAGGCGAATGAGTTGCGAAGTGGTACTTCGAAACCGTCGTGCCAGGCATTCTCCGACCGCTTCCGAGAGGAGACGAATGGCTTGCTCAAGCCAATATTCACCAACATCGACCACAACGGCAAGGAGAAAAAGACAAAAAACCCTAAGAGGATTGAATAAAAAAAAGCATTTCAGTGTAGTTGTATCTTCATTTACGTCATCATCGTCATCATTTACGGCCAAAAGTGACCAAAATAGACCGCTTGCGAATAGTGTAGCACCTTTTAATGAGCTTTGTTTGGCTTATAAAACTCGCTTCTCTTTGAACGCTGACGCACTTTCGGGTTGAAAATAATATTTATTCGAGTAAAAAAAATCGGCATTGATGGCACTGTAATCAAGGTCATTCAGGATCAAATCTGAGCGCGAAGCGAAAAAGTAGTTGCAAAGAATAGTGTCTCAAAATTGGAAACCAGAAGCCCTATCAAAAATTTTCCATTTTGACGGTCTGTTTATGGCAAATCGCCACAATGTAATAACGGTACATGTTGATGACCATGGTTAGCTGGCCCTATATAAAGCTCACTTCACAACATAGAGACCTACACACTGTGCAGTGGTGTTTGTTGTGAATCGGAACAGCTTTTGTGCTACGAAGCAACCCGGAGCAGAGAATAAACCGAATCCGAGATAAGGCTCGAATACTCTCCTTTGATCAGCCCCTTCTGATCGATTCGAAATGCGGCCCCTAATTGTACTTATATCACTCGCTTTTGTGTCTCCAATTTCTGCGGATTGTCTGCAGGGATGGGTCGAGATTCCGGAGGAGAATACTTGTATTCTTATGAGTAAAATGGGTCGGTCAAGCTATCTAAAAAGAACTTTTTTGATTAAGATTTGGCGCATCTGCAAGCACTACGAAATTGTCAGACTCTCGGAGCAAGTTTGGTCAAGATTGGCGATGCTTTTATGAATACAGCTATCGCTATCGAAGCGATGACTTGTGAGTTTGTTCAATAAATTGAAATCGAAAACTCTCGTCGATTTTTGTCAGCACAAAAATTTTAAAGTCGAAAACGGACGAAAGACGCTGATTGGAATCGAGAAAATGTCGAGCGGCGAATGGGCCTATTCAGATGGTACCCAATTGCAATATTCAAAATGGAAGTCTGGTAGGTATATTTTGGTATATTTTGATCTTTATTTTCAGGGGAGCCAAAAGCAAATGCCAGCTGTGCAGCCATTGATCCGACGACCGCTTTCTGGGAGACGGTCGATTGTGGAGTGAAAATGCCGTATGTATGCGGGAAACAAGATAAAAGTTAGTGGTATGGAACTGAATTTGCAGCCGTAGTTACAAGGGAAGTAATGCTCCCAAAAAAAACCCCTGCAAAACCAATACCTTTTTAAGATGCACCTTGTGACCTGGGATGGAGCTACTCGGAAGAATCCAATGCATGCTATTGGCTCAAGGCAAGTCCGTAATTAGACCACCACTGCAGTCCCAGAATTTCACAATGAATGATGGGAAACATTGGGACCTCTCCACCGTCAACGAGGCCGAGGAATTTTGCCAGTCCAAACTTGCCCACCTCGCCTCCATTCACAGCTCAGATGAGGATGACTTTGTCTACAGTAATCTTGCTCGCAGCCACTTTTCAGACTCATTTTTAGACCTTCTCTCCACCTATGGACTTTCCAGTCAAATGACAGCTGGCAACGGCACGCCATGCGCGTTTGTTTTCTAGGCTGTATTTGAAAAACTCGTTTAGACTGGGAGTATCGTGGATAGGACTGTCGTACTATCCACAGAGCAAAAACTATGTGTGGACGGATAGGACCAAAGCTGACTATATCGGACTACCGGCACTTGAGAACACCAATAACGTTTATTACGCTGTAAGTGGTTGTTTACATCAATGTATATGAAAATTGTGTTTATCTCTATTTTTAGATATGATATAATTTCACCTGTTCTTTCAGATGATGAATGACGCGACGTGCACGAAGGGGTGGAACTATCAGACGAACGACAAAATGGCCGCAAGATATGTGTGCAAAAAGCAACCGGCGGCTTGATGCTAAAGACCATGATAAATTTTTGTGTAATATATTTTGAAAAAAACACAACCCAATCTTTAGGTACGAAAAAATCAAATGGTGTTGATACTGTATCTAGAGACGCACCGAACAGTCACCGCAATTTTAAAACTTTGGCTATTCAGAAAATCATTCTTCCAATTTGAAAAGTTTCATACGATACTTTAAACACCATTCGATAGCGTAAGAAAAAATATACTAGAAGATTAAAATCCAGCCCAAGAACAATCTAAATGAAAAGGTTATATAAAAAAAACAACAAAAAAAAGCGCTTTGAAAGCTGGCTGGTAGGCTAGCTTTCGGCCAAGCTAGACCTTTGTTTCTTATACAATTTACACAAACGTGCTTCCAATATTTCCCCTCAAAACTTTTTCGAATGTGTTCCATCCCGAACTCGGGGTCTGCTCGTTAAGCTCAAGCCTATTCTCGGTCAAAAATTCTCTGTACAAAAGGCGTTCTTTTCATTGCGTGTACAGGGTGTCCCAAAAAAAATCCCCCCCCCCCTAGCCGGCCGCAGACGGGTCCGATTTTTACGATTTAGGTACCTATCGAAAGCTCTCGGAAAGGCGATGTCGGGACGCTTGGTCGATTTTCATAATTTGGAAATTTTTCCATCAGTTACTAATGTTTTTGCAAAATGGGCGAATTTTCTGATGTTGTTCTGACCAGGGGATTTTTTACAAAAATCACAATTTAAGAATTTCTACGCGTCTCCTGGCAACCCAACGACAGCTTTTTGAAAGCCGTTTGTAAAAACACAGCTTGGACAGCGCTTAAATCGGTTAAATTGCGTTTTGAACAAAAAGTCTGTCCTTTTGGCCTGGAAAATGCCGAAAATCGAGCAAAAAATTCCGACATTTCGAAAATCGACCAGGCGTCCCGACATCGCCTTTCCGAGAGCTTCCGATAGGTACCTAAATCGTAAAAATCGGACAGGTCTGCGGCCGGCTAGGGGGGGGGGATTTTTTTTGGGACACCCTGTATGTGCTCTTTGGAAATCTTTGCCCCAATCTGCCTTCGATAGCTCTTCAATTAAGGTATTTAAAAAGCAGGTTTCCCGATTAGTACCTATTTCATCCATTCTTTCATTAATCATGTCCATTTAACGCCTTAATGCTTCCTCACCCCCCCCCCCCTTTTTCTTCAACAAACTTCCAACCTTACCTCCACTTATAAGTGTTTACTTGTGAACCTAAGTGCGAGAAATAAATTATTATTATTAGTGGGCATCTTCAATTTTTTTTGAACTTACCGAAGAGCGGCGTAAAATTGACCTTAACCCCCGTTTGCCCTCTCTTTTGGGTTATTTTGGTGGTCCAATCCCCCAGTGGTTGCCATCTCTGCGTTTCTTTCCCTGCATACTCTCTCGATTTTGCACATCCGCCCCACAAAACACTGGCAGCAACGAGCAATGTCTCACCTGATCCAGCCCCCCCGGCTCCATTCCATCCCCTATTTTTCATCGAATTTTGGGTCCAAGCAAAACTAGCGAGCCTTAAAAATCGCAACTTCCCCCGGTAGTGCGCAAAAAATTGCGCTCCTTTTTCAGGAGCGTCTTATCGCGCTACTCTGCCGGTCATTTCTATCCCTGAAGTCAATCTGCCGTTTCTGTCTATCTCTCCCCTGCCGGGGCTAGCCCTGCCATTTTTGATCGCCATTGTTTGGTTTCGATTTTTAGGGAGATGGATTTCTTTTCTATTGCCTCTGTTTTTACACCTAATGAACAGTATGCCATTTAATTTTTAGACTTTGTTCTCCTTTAAAAAAAACGGGATATTTGCAGAAAATGGGTGCGGCAGCTTCACAAAACACGCGGAAACTTAGCAAATCGGAAGACCCCTTGGCTTTTGTCGACAAGACGATTATGCGCAAGGACCAGGGCTATATTCTCGCGTTCAGACTGGCGCAGATCTTTGTGTAAGTAATACGAATAGATATAAAATGGTTTACGATAATTTTTTGTGCAAACACTCAGGGGTAACGGGTTTAAAGAATTAAAACCATATTTAAAGCTGGGCCTTCGTCACATACTCCTTCATCTCTGAGCACCATGTTTCCTCGTTCCTGATAATGTTTTTGTTGCTGACAATGATTGCAGAGGTTAGTAATAAACAGCAAAGACGCTTTAATTTCCTAGGTCTTCCAAAGAGTATCCTACCACGATGTGCGGAAACGAGGAATGTTTGGAGCGCTAGTGACTACTTTAGTGCTAGTCGATCAGCTATTTTTGATCTTGGTAAGCCGAAGAGTCCGCGACACAAATTTCTGTGTTTTTATTGCATTCATAGTGTAGATCTTAACGTTTTTCAGCCTTTCCCCGAGAAGCTCTCCTCGTTTTTCTTGTTCTGCGTGTGCGTCTTTCAACTCATCCGCTGCTTCCGGAGATCGAGGAAGGCGCTGAAGGGTCGAATTCTGTGAAAAAGGACTACCGGTGCTGCTCAGGAATAAATCTTGCCAATTACCACAACTTTTTGAAGGAAAGCCTGCAGAAATCATAAAAAAAAGCACCGAATGTCACTCGGGATCGCCAGCCGGGGATTGTTGTCGCCTAAACTGCGCCCCTACCACAGTACCCCCAGCCGGCTGATGGCCGTCTGGGAATATTTATTTTAGGGAGGTCGTCGGCCCCTTGGGGAACCCCCACTGGCATTCCGCCAACACCAATTACACAGTTTTTTTTAACCTTCAAAAATTTTTTGGTTTAAAATAGCAGTAAATTTTCAGGGCCATGGGTGCCGGAGCCAAAGCTAAACCCAAAGAAAGGGAGGGATTAGAGGAAAGATGGTCAACAACTCTGACTACGGGCCAAACGAAGAGTATCCTATTAATCGGACAATCTTCTATTTATTTGATCGCATTTGCATCACTGTTCTGGCAGATTCCCGGTGAGTTTTCGCGAGGTCGGTAGCAAGTCCACCTCAAAGTAAACTATCAAAACTTGCATTTTTCAGGTCTTTATGGCGAAAAAGGGATTACCCCAATTGCCCCACACCTCCAATGTGGTATGTTTTTCTACTAATTCGCCGAAATACAAGCGTTTAGCCCCCAAAACAAATATTTTCTTGCAGAAGAGGCAAATATTCTGAATTGTCGCTCGGTGTTGCTCATGCTCCTTCAAAAATATGTGCCAATGGCTCCTTCATTATCAATGGCGTTATTAGTGTTGTCAGCTATGGTGTTAAGGTAATATAAAATTGAGAAGAAAGATCGTTATCGCACAATTTTCAGCCTGATCACCATTGCATTCCAGTCGGCCCGCACAAGCTTTTCCTATTTTCTTATTTGGCTGGCCTACGTAGCCGTCTATGAAGTGAGTCTAAAAAAAAAAACGAAAATCTATTCCAAAATTGTTTTGCAATTTCTAGAACGGCTTTCCAGGTTGGCGGTACGTTTCTTTGGTTCCAATGGGATAGCCTGTTGCTCGAATCCGGTTTTCTCGCCGTGATTCTGGCGGCTTTTAATGATGGGCCAGCAGATCAGGTAATTTCGATATTTCAAAGATTTAATGACCTTTTGTATAACTTCAGGTTGCCATCTATTTGTACAGATGGTTGGCCTGTCGGTTGATGTTCGCCTCCGGTGTGGTGAAGCTGCAGTCGAATTGCCCGACTTGGTGGGGGTTGACAGGTTGGTAAACAGCTTTTTGTAGACGAACATTAAAGGTATAGCATATACCATAAACGAAATGGAGTAGAATACCATCAAATAACTCAAAAAATTTTCAGCGCTTGAGGTACATTACGAATCGCAATGTATCCCGACTCCAATCGCTTGGTATTTTCACCATCTTCCGGGCTGGTTCAACCGATTCGCAGGTAAATTGCAATCATAGAAATTTAAAAATAATAGTGCTATTAAGTTGCACTAACATTCTACATCGAGTTGTATCTCCCACCGCTTTTCCTGGTGCCTTTCGAGAGTGTCCGATGGTTTGCCGGGGTTAATCAGGTAAGCCAGCAGATTTCAAGTTTCCGTTAGGTGCCTATTTACGGTCCTCAGGCCTATTTTTTATGAAAAAACTTTTGGAGCACAGGAATGACATTTTGCAGCTTACACTGTCTGCCCAATATTGCACAACCCGGGCCAATCCCTGTTTTTCCAGATCCTCTTCATGGGACTGATCATGCTCACCGGAAATTACAACTTTTTCAACCTGCTCTACTCACTGATTTGCGTGGCGTTGTTGGAAGTTGGACCCGGTAATTAATTTGCAGAATCTTAGCCTGTTTCGGTAATTGTTTAAAGATACCGAGCTTAAGTTATGCTTCTATTTTACTACTATAATTGCATTTTTCGTATTAATAGCAAATATTTTTAGACAACACACAACGCGAAAAGCGTCAATCCATGCTGATGTGGTTGGTGGAGACGATTGTGTTCGTGGGTACGGTGGCAGCCTCCCTCTGGCACTTTTGCAAATGGTTTTCCGTGGAAGCCGATTGGAGCAGGAGGGTGGTAGATTCGGAGATCGGTAAGGCAAGGTATCCGACTAAAAATGCGCATTTTACAGCCTTCGATCGATCGGAGTTCGATGCGGCCGTGCGGCTGGCCACTGAATATTTGATTTATGTGGGAGCGGCTGGGCTGTTTTGGAAGGTTTTCGTCGCCTTGTGGAGGTGGGTGGTGGTTTTTAAAGGTATTTTGGGTATCTGTTTTTTAAGAAATCAATAGGGTTTGCGAGCGAGAAAATGTTTTTGGCCCAGTCGAGCCTTTCGGGGGGTTAGAACGGTTTCTCAGGACTGGTCTGTTGTCCGGCTAGCCGTCCCGACCGATATCTTGTGTTATCAGTGTGGGCGACCCAGGCTGGCTGGCTATTATTGACCACTATCCAATTTGCAGCCTCTCTCCCCCCTCGTTTCTTGACCATTTATTTGCTCGCTGGTCTTAGTACATAACTTTAAAATCCCTTAAAATACTTTGTTTTTCAGAAATGGCAAAAGCTTCTTCAATATCCTTCATCTTACCTTTGTCGTCGCCATCGGTGGATTCATCTTCGCGGTTTCACTGGTTTGTTTTGCAGTACGGGATACGTTATGCGACGTTGCACTACGCTTCGCTACATTAGGCTGTGTTAGGCTACGCATCGTTACCATACGCTACGTTACGATGTCTAGCTTACACTGCACTACCTTATGCTACGTGGCGCTACGTTACCGTATACTACGTTAAGCATCCTACGCCTATTATTCTAAAAAAATTAACCAGATGCGTTTCTCATAAAAATGATTTAAGGTTCCATTCACTCAACTTGACCGCTCCGTCGCCGCAAAGATCCCACCCCAAATCCGCCAACTCCATGAACTGACCTCCAAATTCCACCTCGTCAACTCGTACGGACTCTTTAGAAGGTAGGCATCAAACACGCTACCAGAATATATAACCCGATTACAGTATGACCGGCTTGGAGGGGAGGCCCGAAATTGTGCTCGAAGGCTCCGATGGCCCGAGTGGCCCCTGGAAAGAGATCGAATTCTATGCGAAACCGGGCAATTTGAATCGAAGCCCGCCATTCGTCGGTAGGTGACAGATGAAGCCAAGCTAAAAAGATACGAGCTGACGAGTTTTAATGACCAGTAGAATAATTGAACCATTTTTAGTTCCTCACCAACCACGCCTCGACTGGCAAATGTGGTTCGCCGCCCTCGGCACGTATCAGCAGAACCCGTGGTTTGTCTCCATGGTTCACCAACTGCTCAACAACAACACTAATGGTAAAATTATGCAAAAGACAAAAATATAAATGGATATTTTAGTCGTCCGGTTGCTGGAGAAATATCCGTTCACTAAGGATCAGCCGATGAAGTTCGCTCGGGCGCACATGTACATCTACCACTATAGTAAATGGAATGGCAGGTGGGGCAATGCTTAAGCGTATGTAAATTTTGTCTACAGTCCCTGAAATTTTTTCGTGATGCTGATATCTCTCTCACACCGTGTCTCTCTCTCTCCCTCTCTTCCAGGTTAAGACATTACCTTTGCAGTGGCTGGTGGACCCGCGATTTCCAAGGCGAGTACATGCCAACCCTTACTCGCAACGCCGAGCCCATCCTCGACTTCCTCGCCAAGCAGAAGCTGATCGTCAAATCCCAAAAATACCCCTCCACAAAACTCTCGTCCTCTCTGGCAAAACTTCAACGCCACATCACCCAAAAAAATCGATCAGACCGTCTTTGTCTGGTCCGTCTTGTCGACCGTTCCGCTCATCCTAATCACCAAACGAATCCTCGGGTTCTAAAATGCATATAGTTTCCATTTTCCCAGCATAATCGATTATTGGTTATGAATCCCTTGTCAATTACGGCTAATCAATTTGATCTGATGACAATGATATACGGTTGTGCCCTCAAGGGCTATTTATACGTGCCATTAATGCCAAAATGCCCCCATAAAGATATCGATCGCTATCTGACCTCGAACGACTTTCGACTTGGCTGGTTCCATTTCATACATTCTTTAAAAAACTCACACTTGCCCCTAATCGTGATAAAAGATGAGCCAGCCGAAGGAGAAGCGCATCGGACGATGGTACTTCGGAGGGTTGGCTTCGGCTGGCGCCGCTTGCTGCACACATCCACTCGATTTGCTAAAGGTTAGTTAACACGTTTCATTAAAATAGTTCAATTGAAATTTTAGGTGCATCTCCAAACGCAGCAAGCCGGAAAGGTCTCACTTGGGCAAATGGCCGTAAAGTTGTACAAGTGAGTCGAATTATGTCACAAAAAACTAGGGCTTTGGAAAACGCTTATGCGTATTTTGGACATATGCTTTGGCGTAGGTTTTTGTCTGAGCTTAGGTTTAAGGTAACATCTACGGGAGATAAACCCCTGCTTTTCAGATCCGACGGCATTTTCGCATTCTACAACGGGCTATCGGCATCATTGCTCCGCCAACTGACCTATTCGACAACCCGCTTTGCCGTCTACGAGACCTTGAAGAAGCAGTACCCTTCAGGTATCAATTTACAACAACTCGAAGAGCCCGGTATTTTAGAACAAAACCTTCCCTTCCTTCAAAAGGCACTCCTGGCCGGCATCTCCGGTGCACTCGGCGGACTTGTTGGTACCCCCGGAGACTTGGTGAACGTCAGGATGCAAAATGACGTTAAGGTATGTGTTAATTTAGAAGGACACCAATTACTTATTGTTTTTAGCTGCCACCGGCTGAACGACGCAACTACAAGCATGCAGTCGATGGGGTTGTGAGAATCGTTCGCGAGGAAGGTATCGGAACTTTAATAGCTATAATCAGGTTTTTAAGGTGTTCAACGGCTCTTCAACGGAGCCACGATGGCCACATCTCGCGCGATTCTGATGACAATCGGCCAATTGGCTTTCTACGATCAGATCAAGCAGACGATCCTGGCTAGCGGACTGGCGGAGGATAATTTGGTCACCCATTTCTCATCTTCGATCACCGCGGTAGGTCTTTCTCTATCTCTCTCTATCTCTATCTCTCTCTAGCTCTTCTCTCTCGCCTCTCTCGCCTCTCTCTCTCTCTCTCTCTCTCTCTTTCTCCGATGGTACCCAGGTCTCGAATTATCACAATTAATTTACGTATTTCAGGCTTCCATCGCGACGCTGATGACCCAACCTATGGATGTCCTCAAGACACGTATGATGAATGCTACTCCTGGCCAATTTAAGGTATTGATCTTTTATACAACCTATATAAGAACCAATTTCAGAGCATCGCCGACTGCTTCTTCTTCACTGCCAAGCTGGGCCCGGCCGGCTTCTTCAAGGGCTTCGTCCCGGCTTGGGTGCGACTTGCCCCTCACACCGTCCTCACCTTCATCTTCTTCGAGCAGCTGCGCCTTAATTTCGGCTACTTCAAATAGAGCCTTGTAGCTTACCCGCTATCCCAAAGAAGCCATTTTCTAGGGCTTCATGTAGATTCACTTACTTGCCGCTAAGTCGAAATAGTCCTGTGATATAACCTGAACCTCGTCTCTCCATGTGATTACTGTATTAGTGCTGACGAGTATACCCTCCCCGTATTACCAGAACCCCGCTTATACTTCTGTACCCTACTTAGCGATTCGCCACTTACCTATGCATTTTTGTACTCTCTCAGTTTAATACTGCCATGTACCCTCGAGATTGCTGAATAGGTCACTTTTTAGAAGTTGTAGATAGATACTTTGATACTTACACAAAGGTGCGAGATAAGAAATAAAGATTACTAGTATATTGTTTTATCGTTAAACCGCGTTCTTACGCCGTTTTAACTTATCTTTGACCGGTATACTATACTGTTTTATGCTCGTAATGACTTGGCCACGATATTTGCTCGAATACTCCGACCAATATTGCTCCAAATCCGGGTCCCCGCACAAAAGCTCATACCCGATATTTCAGTCTGTCGCCCCACGCCATTTGTTATCGACTTTGAATGGCCGCTGACGTGCAAAAGGTGGCCCGGCGATTTGGTTTCGGACTCGCAGCAGTGGCTGTTGGCGGTGGAATCGTGTTTGCATCAAGTTATTACGGTTAGTCCCGCTTACACGAATAATCTTTTGCGCTTTATCTTTGGAAGAAAGATCTTTTCCTACCGTCCCATCAGTTTAAAACCATTTTTTAGTGAAAAAAGGCCGTCGAGCCGTTGTTGTCGATCGATCATCAGGAGTGAAGGAGCAAATTTCCGAAGAAGGCCTGCACTTCCTAATCCCCTTCAAGCAAAAAGCCGTCATTTTTGACATCCGACAAAAGTCGAAGCAGTTGACGATCAACGGAAAGTCACAAGGTACGCTTCACCCTTGCGATTTTTACCGCAAGATTTTTTTAGACAAGCGTGAGGTGGAAATCGTACTCTGCATCACCTACCGACCAGATCCAGAGAGATTAGTGCTCATCTACAAGCGGTACGGGGAGAATTACGATCAATTCCTGTACAGCGCCATCGAGGAGAACGTCTACTCAATTTTGGTGCGTTTTGTGCAGATCTTCTTATAATTCGAGGGAGTTTTAGGAAGAAAACAACAGCTCAACGCTGGATTCGGATCGGGAAGGGATTCGCACGAACATCGTGAACGACGTCTTGGCACTTTTTGGCGGTATGAACGTGCTGATGGACAAGATCGAAATGGTAGAGTAATTTTTAGCTTTTTGTTTTGAAGTAGGTTAAGCCACTTAAGCCTAAGTCTAAGTCAAAGGCTAGAGCTAGGCTACCGAAGCTTGAGCGAAGCCCAATCCAAAGCTTAAGCCTAAGCCTAATCCTAATCCTGCGTCTAGGGCCATCAGCCAAACAATGACCGTTGTTATGTCACCAACCTAAAACTATCCTCTTCAGACAAAACTGGCGGTAGACGTACCTTCGCAAATTCAGGACGACCATCAGAATTCCTCGCGGCTTAGGGTATGCTCGGAAAATTAACCCTAACAAAACTCATACTTAAGAAAGACTCGCAACGATCTGTGCGAAGCGTGGCCTTTGAAAAGCCCGAGACCGCTACCCCAACTCCCCTTGCCGAAGCGACCGTCGTTGACACGCCAGTTTCCCTCCCTGATACCCGTCCGAAGGATGCGACTTCACGCTCCCGCCAAAGCTCCTATCGCGCAGAATTCCCGAAAATCCCGGAATCTGCGGAAAATAAGGTACGTCGCCGATCGCGTTCGGTAAGAAACGAGCCTAGGAAAACGAATACATCAAGGAGGAGGTGGTGGAGCGCAAGGTGCAAGAGATCTACGAGAGCCTCCCGACCTCTTCGGATAGCACCGTCACACCGCTGGAGTTGGAGCTGGTCCTCGACCAAAAGGACCCGAACACGTTCTCCTGGAGTGAAGAGGTAGATAACTTTTCATTATACCTCTAATTTAATGATTTACAGATGGAAAAGGAAGACGACCTTGTTGACCACGTCCATCGGAATGGCCAACAGACGCCGGATTCAGACGTAAGTGGCTTCCCACCGTCCAATAATCCATTTCCTAGCAGGCATCTGTCGATAGCGGCCGTGCCACCGGACCCCCGTTGTTGCAGAATGTCTTCGGCGAGATTGTGCCACAATACGAGTTCGAGATCCATAACAGCTACGTCGGACTGGTGATTGGCGTTGGGGGAAAGACGATTAAGGTAATTTTCGACCCGTATTTTCACGCTATATCCAAATCCAGGAGCTGAGCACCCGCACCGGTGTCGTCCTCGAGATTCGGCCCCACCATTCCCCGGACAAGGTGGACACCTATCAGATTTGCCAAGTGCGGGGCAAGCGGGAACAGATCAACAAGTGCCTCTGCATGCTTCGCCATCGATTCCCGGCCGAGCGCTTTCCGGAGTTGAATCTGCAGCCCGTGCTCCCGTTACCACCTATCACCCAGCATCTGGCTGATCAGATTCTTCACCCGACTTGGGTTAGTTTGCTGGAAGGAAAAAAGAACACCTCTTTTAGCTCACCCTCCCGGAATGCGTGCCAACAGAAGTAACAGTCTCTGCCATCGTTGACCCGGGCCACTTTTTCGTCCAACAACCCACCCACCCGTCCTACAATTCGATGGCCCTCCTCGACCGCTACATGCTCCAGATCTACACTCGAGAGGCTGACATCCCGTCTGTCCCGAAGGAGCAAGTGAATTGTGAGCAAATTACCGTTCCTCGTTTTATAAGACTTTTAAGCCGGGGTGTTGTGTGCGGCGCCGGTGCTTCAGGCATGGTTCCGGGCATTGACCGTCAATTATTACGAGGACACGGATGAGGTATCATTTATCGCTCTCTCTCTCTCTCACTCATTGGCTCTCTCTCACTCTCTCACCCTTACTCCTTCACTCTTCCTATCTCTCTCCCTTGCTCTCTCTCTCTCTCTCTCTCTCTCTCTCTCCCTTTCTCACGCACGCTATTTCATTTTTCAGCTTCTCGTCCGTTTTGTCGACCATGGCGGGTACACTCGTGTAAAACGGGAAAATCTGAAGCAGATCCGCACCGATCTGATGGCCCTGCCCTTCCAGGCTGTCGAGTGCTACTTGGCACATGTCCAGCCCGTCGATGGTGAGCCAAATCCATTTTCCAAAACGAAAAAATCTTAATTTAGCCGGCCGCAATGCTTTTCGTAAGTTTGCGCTCGTAGTTTGTGTCTTGGTTCTAGAGTCTGTAGTTTCCCCCCTTGGGCATACGGTATACGGTATTGTTTTTGGTTTCGAATTGGATTATCGGGTACTTCTATAATTTTCCTATCGGTAGTTAATTGAGTTTTTAGTTATATATCACAAAACAACTAATTTTCTGGTGATTCAGGCAGTTGGAACTGGTCGAAAGAGGCGTGCGAGATCATGCAGGAGGCTGTCAGTAATAAGGTATGGTTTCTAAGGTTGCAAAATCGCCAATTGACTCCAGATTGTGGAGGCTCACATTGTTGGCTACCACGTCGATGACAGAATGCCGTTCGTTGAATTGACAATTCCGGATGGAAAGGACAAGGTTAGTTCTTCGCCTAGATTTTACTTTAACCCCTCTAGCGGCAAGGTCCCAAATTTTTCGAAGGTTTTTGCTGTAAATTTTTTAAATTACAAGCTTCCCATCTGAAAATATAATTCTTAATGTTTTATTTGACGCTCTATCGAACGCACGCCGAAAACTAGCGAAGATATCGAGACCTTGGGACCTTCGGGAGGGGGGCGGGGTGGGGTGGGTAAAGTAAGGAATTACCAGTTTTTCTCTTTCGTTTCAATTTAACGCGCAATACTTACTTTTACAGGTGCCAATGCGACTCGACTGGCTGTTGATGAATCTGGGACTGGCGAAGCAGGCCGACCCCAGCAAGGTGCGCTGTATTTTTTGCATCCATACCTCGGGAATAATTCAGATGCAGCGGGTGCCAAAGTCGAAGGTGTGGAACCAGATGAACGGCGGAATGAAGGGGGGCAAGGAACGGGTCTGATGGAAACACCCATAGGTGTATTCAATTGTTGCGTACCCTTGACTGTATTCACACTCTTCCCTCCCTCCCTCCCCCTCCACTTCCGGTACATGTATTTATTGGCATGTCTCTGTCTTTTGAATGGGGATGAATTTGGGGTGGGCGATACCTTTCTGGATACTTGGCAATTGGTAGATCATCAAAAAGGCTCGATGCTGTGCTTAGTTCTAGCTTACTAACCCTATATTTACAGTTATAGTAATTTCAACTATAAAAACGGCTTAACCGCCTGCTTCTAGACTTTAAACAGCCATAACTTGGTAATAAGGGCGATTATACTAAAATTATCTTAACAATCTCGGGCCAACTTTGATGTTTCTCCATTTGCAAATTTTGGTAAGGTATCCGATCCAAAACGATTCCCCAAATCCGCCGCTGCCGTCTTGCACGTATCGCACATGCCTTCCCCCCTCCCTCCTCTCCGTCATTAGTAGTAACACGTAAAAAACCAGAAAAAAATTGTTGTTTGTCAGCTATGGCGTAGGAATTGGCAGTTGGCCTTCCGCTTTCGCTTCTTGCTAGTTCTCCTCCCCCCACGCTACAAACTCCCCTTCCCCCCACTCTCGTTATAACCTTCCCTCTTTTTCATATCGGGCTCTCCGTTCCTTTTTTGGTTAAGAAACTTTTTGTTTTTCGTTGATTTTCTCTGGCTCTCCCCCCAAATGGTTATTGGAATGAGTGGAAGATTTGCGTGAGGGATCATATGGCTCGAATTTCGACCACCAGAATCCCCGCTCAAATTTCCCCAAAATTCAGAAGATCGTTATAAATTTTTACTCTATCAATCGAGACCTCGCAAGACACATTAAATACAGAAATACACATAGCAAACGCAAAAATCGGCGCGCGTTTGGCCCGGCCGATAATTGCCGGAAGTGCCGTCGCTGATGGCCAGGCACCCGCGGCTGGTGCCACACTTTTTTTGCGTGCTAAACTTGAAAAACCTCGTCTTATTTTGGGTATGTTTTGGAGAATTATTTATTCGGTGGAATCTCGTAAAAAGTGCTGCTTCTAACGGTCTATTCGATTTTTTTGAACGTTTTGCAAATGTAAGAAAATAACTACACTCTTCCCGGGCCTCAAATTGGCGGAGCCGGGTGAAATTTCTGGAGATGGTCTTGGGCGGGAAGGGCGATGACTGCACGCAGCACATTTGCTGGCTGGGAAACAACCCGTGAACAAATCGCGGACCCACGCTAATGCACTTCTCGGCTTTCATCGCCCGCCACGATGGCCATTCCGATTCTAGGGGGCCCACCGGGGAACGCGACCACCTAAATGCGGTCGTTCGGATTTGCCGTTTTATGCTTTTTGCTCTTTAAAAAGACGGACCTGCAACATATAACATATCATAGTTATGAGGTTTTGAAATCTTACCTTGAATCTTGAAAAAATGAACTCTTGCCATGTTTTTTATCTCGGAGATTATCTTTATTTTGGCCGGTTAAGAAGCAAAAGGTTTTTAACCGGTTAGTCTGGAGTCTAAAAATCAGCGCTGTGATTCCAATTTCGCAAGTGCTAAATAACTAGCGTGTTCGATTAAACGTGGTTTTTAAGCGTTAATGAACTGATGCATACTCGACCTGAAGAAAGTTTTGGAATCGGAAATACGTCACTCCCCTGAATTACATTTGGTATTTACTTTCTTAAAATCACACTTTATAGGCTCACCCAAACCGGCCCTTCAGCCTCTTGATCAGCTTTCACCGCCCGCGGGCCTATCAACCTGTCATCTAGGGGATTTTGTTTGGTGCGGGTGGTCCGTTCGTTAGTTCCGTAAGCAGAAGCCCTCACGCCGAATGCTGCCCATTTTTGCTGTATTTTGTAAGTTTCGGTATTTTCGATACCTCTAAAGCTATGCATTGCTTTTTTAGGTGTAGGCCAGGCTTATAGTTTTGCTGTTGGTTGTTCGAATGATTTCACGCATAGCTTTACCATCTCGATCTTGTCCAACAGCCCCTTTATTCGAAGTCTAAACTTAAGCCAAACCTAAATCGAAGTCTGAGATTAAATCGAAGCCTAAGCTTAAGCCTAGACCTGAACCAATTACTTACTTTAGCCCTCGCATCGGCGGCAACCACGGCCAATGAGCTGGTCCACGGCTCGCAGCTCTTTGCGACAAAATGTGACGCTGCGGCTGAAGACAAGATTTGGAGGCAAGTCAACAAATTCATTTTTCAAAACCCGTTTCAAGTTGCGGGCACGAGCTCGAGAAAATGGGTGTCTTCTCGCAGTCGGGCTCTCAAAAGCTGACGGTGGGCGAGCTGAAGTCTCGGAGCCAGACGTATTTCATCCAGATGTGCGAGTGAGTCGTCGATATTACCTTGGTTTTGCATCGTGAATTCAGAGCTTATAATCGATATAACAAATGTCTGGCTTCACCTACAGTGAAGCATCTATGCTATTCGATGGAGCCAATTAAGTCGAAGGTGGCGGTAGTGGACGCTGCTTTGGAATATGTCTGTGGTTTGGCATACGAAGGTAGCTTACTAATGCTAAATTGTCACTGCTTTTTTAGATATGATCACAAATTGGTCCTGCTACATACGCGTCGCGTCTTCTGACGATTTGTCCGCTTGTGAACAGTCTTTTATTAAGGTACGTCAGAGAGAGAGAGAGAGAGAGAGAGAAAGAGAGAGAGAGAGCGAAGGAGATAAACCTAAATTCTAAACCTAATCTTTAAAAAAACAACCCGCTATTTCCAGCTGGCAACCCGCCAAGAGACAATGTACAACGAATACACGATGGGCGCAGGGGCCTGCTTGTGAGTCTCACCCCCCCCTAAATACCTAAAATTCGTTCCCTTTTTTCAGCGCCCTGCAGACGTACACCGACTGCATCCGGCCGAGCATTGAGGGCCTTTGTGGTCCCGTGGCTTATGGACACGTATTAGAGGTTGGGAAAAGTCGATTTCTAGCCGAAGGGCCTATATTCAAAATATCGACAGCTAAAACGAGGAAAAAGCAAGGTTTATGGCAGCCAACATGACGCTATTAAAAATTCAAGAAAACTGAAAAGCACTTCTTCGACAAATACCGTTGGGAGATACCGAGCGACTACTTTTCGTCTGTCGGCATTGTCGGCATTACCGGGAAAACCTACTAAGGTCAAAAACGGGTTGATTTAAAAATGTGGAAATTTCATGAGGTCAAAATTTCGAAATTCTCATAAGCAAATTTCCAGAAAAACCCGAAATCCAATGCAGGGGATTTTGACATACTGAAATGTCAGCATTATGAAATTTCGGCAGTGCGAAGTTCCGGCATCATGAATTTCCAATATTATGATACCAAATCGTCAAAAATAAATTGCAGGCAATCGGCCGGCCAGTGCACGTCTACCTTCCCCACTGTATCATCAGCGGCGACTCAACAAGAACAATTTTCCTCCCGATTTTCCTATTAAGCCTGTTATATTTCTTGTAAATGCCGTTCTCGAAATTTCGATACCCATTCGTTTACGTGTATCCGTCATCACCCCGTTGCTCATTCGTGTTTGTTGCTTTTAGAGCCCGAGTTTTCGCGTTCGCTGCATAATATTTTCAGAATTCACCCGATCCGTGAGCGCTGCGTGCAAATAAAGAGTGGTTTATTCGAGCATTATCCGTAGGTAAACACCGAGAAAAGAGATCACGTCATGGCAAGGGATGGCCGGAGAGGATTTGGATGGGAACGAGATCAGTTTGTATGTACAGGAATCGTGGGGCAGAAGCGGCAGATCATCAAGTAGAAGTGACTCGACAGTTACGAGAAAAATGTGACTAACATAAGTGGATATTTTTAATCGAATCGTTGGGTAACATTAGGGTTAGAAAGTCAGCTTCCGGCCGGCTTCTTGGACTTCTTCAACAATAGGGAGTGGGGCCGTGCAAACTGCCATATCGCAAGATGGCTGGCTTCCACGAGGCGCTCTATAAAACTCTTATTGTCAGACTTATGTATCCTTGCTTGGTTTTCGGGTAGCTTAGGTTTAGCTTAGGCTTAGGCTCTGGCTTATCTGTACTAGACGTAGTCGTAAGCTGATATTTAGACCCGGTTTAGATTTGGGCTTGGATTTCGGCTTGGGCTTGGGTTTGGGCTTATGTTCAGACTTAGGTTAAGTATGAGCTTAGGCTTAGGCTTGAGCTTAGAATATTTCTACCAGTTTTCCAACGATCCTATAGAAATCCCCTGGTGGCCAAAGGCTAAAGCCAATCAGGCCGGGCCTCGCCCTGACAAAACAAACAAAAACTCAGGCTAGTGTTGCGTAGATAGGCGAATTTTGTCATTTCCGGGATGCACGAAATTTGGTCCTTCGGCCTGTATGCTCACCTTGGAACATGATGAATTCGCAGCGAGGGAAGGCTAAACTTTTTGACGGCTGATGAGTTGAGGAGGGTTGTTGTTTGGTCCTAAAGACTTCAATCTGCAAATCGTAGGTAGTGATACCTTCGTGCTCTTCCGCCCCTCCGTCATGCAACTCTGGCCAAACGTCGTGATATTCTTCCCCTTCTCAGCGATACTATTCCCATTGTCCCTTTCACATCTAAAGCGGGTCTCCCTTGTATTTTGCATCCTGTTTACCGTAGCCACAACGCTAGCGTCTCCCGCATCCGGCCGTTGAAATAAGCATAGATTAAGGGATTACACAGATGGTTGGCCAGCCACACCTAAAGTTCGAGAATTTAAGGGTGTTTTAGGAGAGGAACATCCTATTTTCATACCCTTAATTAAAATTGGATTAAGGGGGACTTACGAGATGAGAGATGAGGAAATGCCATCTGGTCATCAGATGAGCATAGAGGGGCATAGAGAAGAACATGATGGAAGACAATGTGCACACGACGGATGGGTAGAAGAATTGGAATGACAGGCGAACCTGCTGATACCAAATAAATTATTATTATTACAAATCAATAATACCATCGCTATGGCTTTTGAGAATGCATGCCCGATCTAACGGCAAATGGAGCGTTTCGTACCTGCTTCTGGGATCGCCGAATTTTCGCACTACTGATGGCGTGGTTAGAGATACGCTTGGAGATTGTTCGCACCGTCGACAGTACGAAAATGGAGCACACCCATTGGAGACAGATTGATGCGGCGTTGACGATAATGTTGAAAAGGATGAAGGCCTAGAAATATGACATTTTAAGCAATTCTGAAGCGTTGCTACCGGCGCAAAATTTTGTTAATGGGTTATTTTCAAAATTTCAAAATTCATAATGTCAACATTTACGTAAGTAAATTTCCCAAAAAAAACCCCAAATCCTATGCACAAGATGGCGATATACTGAAATTTTGCCATTGTGAAATTCCGACACTTGGAAATTCTGACAATGTTGAATTTCGACATTTTTGACGTTCCACTTTACGATAGTCAGTCTATCTTGATATCCCACCTGAGATCGTGCGTTAAAATTAATAAACCGCATCGTCCAGATGTGGATCTGCACGACGATGATTGGCTCGGGAAAGGATGCAGCAACACCTGATGCTCACTCAAAAATGACGAGTTTCAAATTACCTCCAATAATGCTGATCGCCCACACGCCAACGATCATGTACTGTGTACAGCGGAGTCGATTAAACTTCCGGAGTTTTGTCTATATTATTGTTAGCTTTGACGATTGAGAATAAATACGATACCTTGTAAAAACACGTCGAAACACATCGATTGATCCCTAGCACCGCGTATGTGTAGATCATCACAAACCAGGCGGTGATGGTCAACACGCATACCTAAACGGCGTGTAAAAAGTAGCACTACGGTGGAGAACGCATTCATGAAATAAGGCTTACCAGCTGATTTTTAACAGCAGCCTCGTCTTCGTTAATTATTGTTGAATTGGCGGTGGCCCCTAAACGGAAATCAGCAGTCAGAGTTTCTGAAAGAGTTTGCTTAATTTACTTTTCGCGAAAAAATATATATTGAAAATTTTAGCAAATTAAATTAGTGCATGACAGGTTATCTCATGTTGCTTGTTTTTGCCATAACCCCTTTGTCTTGCATTGCTTTAGGCTGAAATTGAGCTTTTGCCCTGAAATTCAAAATTAAACAATTTAGTTTCGACACCATGGGACGCCTGAAATATCGAAAAATAGCGAAAGTATCGAAATTTCGCATAAAAAATTAAGCCACCGGGCTGGGGTCAAATAAACCTTAGTCGGGATCCTGAGCTCTTGACACTCCACCAAAAATAGCATACCAAATAGCTGAGTGTGCTGCTGGGTGATGGCGTGGGCGACGAGCACATATCCCGTATAACAACCAACAATCAGAGACTGTACCGCGTCAGCCACCGCAATATTTGCCATTAAGAGGTAGGCGGACTTTCGGTAAGCCTGAATACATATGAATTAGATCATTTAAGGTTACTATCATACCGAAACGCTGAGTATCATCGCTACTACCAGGCAATTGCAGACGAACCCGAAGAAGCCAAGCGTCACGTAGGCCACCGACACCCATGCCGACTCATGGGGCATCGACCTAAACAAAGTTGGATAGTTTAAAGTGTGTAGAAATTTTAAATAAATAATTTATAAAGCACTTATTATTATCTGAAATAGGGGGTACGGGACCGTGGTACCTGTCGACACCTAGCTGATAGCGGGGTCGATTTTGGTACTTCCCAGTCCAAAAACCTTAATAAAACTGAAATAAAGCGCGGCCCGAACCTTTTTATAGTATCAGGTTGGATAATAAGTTCTGTCACAATTTTTTGGAATCGCTTGTTAAAGCTGCAGACGTGCCCAAATTAATAGTGTGATATATGGTTTGATAGGTCTCCTCGAGCTCTAACGTACCAAACCTATTTTGCAAGCTATCTCTGCATAGAGCAATTTGCATGCGATACCTCTAACGCCAATCGATAGCTTTCGAGGAGTAGATATCGATAGATGTTGAGATCATCAAAATTGGACACTGGATGGCCGAGATACGACCCCTTGAAATTTGGCCCATTTCTTAGAACTTTTCCCTAAATCCCATACATTTGGTCAAAATGCGCTCGGTTCTTTTGAAAATCAAGCGGTCAGTTTTGGCTGCGGGCTATCAAATGTATGGGATTTTGGGAAAAGTTCTAAGAAATGGGCCAAATTTCAAGGGGTCGTATCTCGGCCATCCAGTGTCCAATTTTGATGATATCAACATCTATCGCTATCTACTCCTCGAAAGCCATCGATTGGTGTTAAAGGTATCGCATGCAAATTGCTCTATGCAGAGATAACTCGCTAACACGCTTTTGCGTAATTTTGCGAAAAACTTCTCGGGCCTGTATCTCGACGTCCCTCAATTTTTGCGTAAACTGAGGGTCCTCCCAGAATAGAGTGTTGTGAGACCTATCAAACCATACCTCATACTCCAGAATTGGAAACATCTGCGATTTTAACGAGCGATTTCAAAAAATTGTGACGGAACTTATTATCCAACTTGATATAAACAACGGTCACTCTCTGCCCCTACAAAAAAGATGATGCGCCGAAAGATAAACATTTGGGGGGAGATGGCGATCAGGCGTTTTTCATGTTTGCCCCTGCGTAGGGAGTGCACTTAAAATAGTGAGACCCGCCGAAGTGGAATCTCTCGAATAGTTGACGCCTTTTTTGAGGGAGATGAGACAATGAACGGTAAATATACGGGGCAGAGTTTGCATCTTCAAAAAGAAATTCTAGGTGACGAATTGAGGGTAGAATCTGGTGACTCAATCTCTAAATGATCAACCAGATTAAATGGGGGAGAAGGGGTGGTGGATAGAGAGCTGGATCCAGAGAGAGAGAGAGAGAACGAGCGAGGGAAAGATAACTAGCAGAGTGAGTGGGAGAGTGTAATGGATAGCTAGAAAGAGATTGGGTGAGAAGGAGAGTGTGGCCATGAGAGAGAGAGCGAGAGAGTGAGAGAGAACGAGTTCGTGAGGGAGCTCAATAGAAAACCAAGAGAAGAAAGATTGAGAGAGAAAGAGAGTAAAATAATTCGTGAGTGTTTAATTTCTTAGAAGAACCGCCGATTTCCAAGCACAACGTTGCCTTAGCTAAACCATTAGGAGCTCTCCGAGCCGTTGGCCATTGAACTGAGGGCTCAAGTTCCGATCAAACACCACCTCAGATCCGCGATTCAACGCAGCGCTGGCCCTATGCCAATGTTCGATCGCAAAACCGTGTCAACCTGTCAGTGCGCGCGCGAAACGGCCCCTTTTTTAAAGGGGCGCTGAAGAAGAAGAAATGGACCAAATATTTGCGCACGCAGATCGACCCCCCCGGCCCCCCCGCTTCCCACACATCGAGAGAGAAAGACAGACGAACAAACCGACAGACAAGCATCTATATTCTGGCGCTCTGCAACGGATCTCCGGGGGGTATTTTTGAGCGTAAAGGGGGTGTTTGGACCAAATTCGGTGGAGCACAAGAAGCCCATCGGCGGGACGGACCCACCCGCAAAATCCGGGTTTATGGCCGTTCGCCAGCCTCCCAAAGCGGCCACATCTTGTTGACATATGGAAAGGTTTCTAGGTGTCACGTCAGGCAAATTTTTTGCAGCCAAAAAATAGGCGCTTGAAACCACTTGTTTCCGCTCGCCCCTACAAAAGCGAGGGTTCAAGGGCCACAGAAAGTGTTGTGTCTTCTCGAGGGGTTAGGTCAAAATAAGATACTTGAGCTGGGACTGGTTTGGTTTGGGGGGGGGGAGGGCAGGGGGGATGTATGAATTTGAATTTTTAGGGTTCGGAAAGGTGTGACTCAGGCATATGCTTGTACCTAGGCTTAGACTTTGCTTGAGCTTAGGTTTTGGCTTACGCTTGGCTTGGGCATGGGCGTAGCATTAGGCTTATATTGTGCTTAGACGTAGAGCCAGGCATGGCAATGGGTGATTGTGATTACAAAAATAGCAGCATAGCCAACACGGGCTGCTTTCAAAAGCCGAAAATCATGATTTAGATTTTATAAGAAGCTTTACGCAGGCATGTTATGATGCCGAAAATCACAATATCGATGTAATTTCGATATTCTCTTTTTCAAAATTATGATAGAAACCATCCAACGTCAAACCTTCAATCAGCTTCAAACCTACTCTCCCTACAACCCCTTCTCACCTGAACGGCTCGGCCGTGCCGCGTATCGTGGAGAACAACATTCTTAGCGCTCGGAATTATGTGTAGTCGTTCCCCTCCGCCTTCCGAACGACCTTTTCTCCACCCGCAAACGCGAATTGTCAATGGATGGGGGGTGGATGCTGGTGGGGGGGGCTACACACAGAGCCTTCTTTCACCTCCTCGTATTTTGCAGGAAATGTGACGGGAAATGGGGGGCTGAAATCCCGGTGACCACACAGCGCTCGGTTGGAGACAGCTGAAGCCCGGCAAGGCGTTACGAATGCTGTAGTGGGTAAGTAGGCGGAATATGGGAATTTGGTCTGATTTTTACAGCCGCCTAATAGTGTGCTGAACTCCTTGAAGAGGCTTGAATCGCGTTGCGAATTTGGATTGTCGACGAAGTGATAGTAAGCACGAAACAGCTGAAGGCCAGCCAGGCTTATAGAATGTTGCAATTAGACGGAATACAGGAATTTGGTCTGATTTTTACAGCCACCTAGCAGGTGCTGCTGAACTGCTTGAAGACGCTCCAATCGCGGCCCGAATTCGAGACTGTAGACCTACAGATAGTAAGCACCAATAGCTGATCCAGCCCGCAATTCGAGCCACAACACGAGCAATGCCAGTTAAACTCTAGTGGCAACTTTTGCCCACCAAGATGGTGTATGCGTGTTTGTGCGTCTGTGGCCCCCATATTTGCCCCCGCATCCTAATCAAAAGCCGTAGGGGCCCTTTTCGGCTCCCAGCGGCTTCTTCATCTCCCCTTTTTCCAGCCCCTAAATCCTCATTTTCATCTGGTGCTCGTCGTGGAGGAGCATGGGGCCTGGGGGAAAAACTTTCGGGCTTCTTTCCCCCATGACTCGGCTTTTCCGGGCGACAACATTAAAATTGACAAAGGAAATGGGGGGGGGGGGCGTTGATGGTGTCTATCTGGAAAGGAGATGGGGCCAAAGATCGGACCCTTCGAGTATTGCTCAAGCTGTTTGAATCAAAAGCGGAAATGTTGGTTAAAACCCACTCGTTTGTTGATAATATTTCCTCCGTTAGCAATCCTACAGGCAAACAGGAAAAGCTTGGTAAGAAGTAAAGGTGAGATTCGAAATGGGACCAAGCCCATGTTTTGTAGAATTTTAAGCTGTTCTTCAAATTTACGAAGCTACAGTGCAATTTTTTTGGCGCCAAATTCGGGAAATTCGGGCATGAGATTTAAAAGTCCAGGCAGGCTAGGAAGTTCAGAAAGACATGCTCTTGCGAATGTGCTCATTTACTAATATTTTTCAAGGTTGTGAGATGACAATAAATTTACAGAAATTCCTTTACGCTTCGAGCTGCGATTCCAGAAAAATATTGTTACTATTTTTCAAACAATTTTTATATATGACGTTTATTTTTTCAAATTTGTTTGTTAGAGGTTTGACATAATGAAGTACATGAGATGTAATAACCGTTAGATCGTCTCTTAATGCACACGAGAAGAAGCCAACCAAGATTTCAAAAAAATCCGAGTCTCGGAAGTTTAAAATAATGAAGTACTTCTCATGTCATAATCGTTAAATGCTACGTAGGAGTACGGTCGTCGCTGCCCCGACCACCAAACACGACGTCAATTCGGAAGCTCGCCACCGAAAACCTTCAAAAATGACCGAACATCCGGCCTGGGCGCCTCCAAATTTAGCGGTGGCGGGCCCGGGGGCAGCCGACAATTGAACAAAGTGGCTTGCAGCCCGGAGTGGAGCAGTTAGGGAAATTGGGGAAGGGGTGATTGCTGGGTTGGCTTGAGGCCAAAGACTAGGGGGCAGGTATAATTTGGTAAAAATGTGCACAGATATAAGTCTTCCTTGGAGATTGACTTGACCGCTTAGGCTTAGGCTTGGGCTTAGTTCTTGGGCTTTGGTCTCGGTTTAGGCCCAGGCTTGGCTTAGGTCCAAATAAAAACCAGTAAAACAGCACAGACTCAAAACAATGTGTAGTTCCGGTTTCAAATCCACCGATCCTCAGAGCAAAATATCACCCCGGACACCTTGTTGCAAAATGTCGGGTTACTTGTGAAGCAGGCGGTGGCGCATTTTGGCGATCCACGAAATATATTGGTGCCGGGATGAGTTCATATTTGCGCACGAGGTTGCGGACCCCGCCTGCGGCAACTTGGACCCCAGATTTCTGGATATCATGTGCGGGCGGGACAGAAAAAACCTCTGAAGAAACGCCCGGGAAATGGGAGGTCTTACTGGCACGTTGCATGAAACACGAAAATAGTTGGTACTGGATCGTTAACAGGGGGATTTTGTGGCTGGGAAAAAACCGTTTTGTTTGTTAACCTAACGCTAATAATAAATAGCGTATTTTCATGAAGTTTTAGTTGTTTTTGATTGCTAGCAGGCTACAAAAATAATTTAACATTTTTTGGAAATTCAAAATTTTTGGTCTTTTTCCTACATTTTGGCCACAGAGTTTAAAATTTTCATAAGCTTGCTATGAGTTTAGATATCTAAAGGCTGCGTTAAATGTCATGAAAATGGTTTGTTCTCAACTATAGGACATGATTGCTTGGAACAATTAGTTTTCTCCCCGCGAAGAATCCCCCTGCTACAGTACCACCTAGTTTTCACATAGATTCTAGTGATACGATGTGTCAATAGATACAAGTCAAGAAAATTTTTTAAGAGCACACAAATGCGGAAGACTCTTAGAATGACGGCCAACGTCAGGAATAGGCTCTAGGTTCCAGGGCACACGCTAATGACGTGCCGGCCACCGTAACGGCCTAGTGAGCACTCTCCCACCGAAAGACTGCCCATTTTAGTGAGCGGCAAAGCGTTGTTTGTCGGAACGAAATGGGCATAGTCGGTCGGTTCGGGCAGAAAGCCCGTCGGCAGCACATTTGCTTCCCATGCGGATCCCCTTACAAAGCTCTCCTCCCCGCTTCCGATTCAACTCGACTCCAGCACCCAGTCGCAAATCCCCTCCTCCCCCCACGCACCACATTCCAATCGGCACCCGGGGATGTGGATATTCGGCACAAATCTTGAGGTGTAGGGATGCAAAATAGGAGTTAAGAGGCGCAAGGAACCAACGGAAAAAGTATATCAACCGCAAAAGGAATCTCAGGTCGGATGCCGATGGTATAGGACGCTTACAATGGGGACACTCCTAAGCCCGAGTCGAAGCGTTTTTAGAGGTTTCAAAATCCGGAATCGGAAATTGCTGAGCTGCAGTACATTTTGACGCACAATTTCAGCTGTAGAGGCCCCTAAAAATGCCAACGAATAACGTTTTGCTACGGTTTCCATGAAAATTTGCTCCAAAGGGGCCGATTTTGCGCATTTTTGGCCCCCGCTTAACAAAATGCGAACTTTGAGAAGCTTGGTCTCGAAGAACTTTTGAAGCTCTATCGAATGAGCTCACTCCTCACGTTGCAAAATTCCACGATCATGTAGAAACCACTCCATGTACGCAAATGCCCAACTTACAATTAGAACTGTTCTTTGGCTATCCATACGTATCAAAGCTAACCGCACGCTTGCCCTTTGCCTACCCGAAACTGCAAACTATTGGCCTACAAAATACTGGCCCGTCTTTTTGATAATAACCAAACTCTTTTGTCGCTTGTTATGCATCCGTCTAATTTTATCATCCGTTCGTTGGTTTTTCGAAAATAACTCGGGCAAGAAGAACAAACCCAAGCTTTGCCGCCATTGACATGATTCATAAAAAGTGTGTATGACTGATAAGGACTTGCCTGCCCGGCTGACCCTCCCCCAAATATTCCCTGCAAGCCATTCCTCGGTCTAGCCCCCCCAGAGCTTTCCACTCGATTTCGAAACAATTCATGTTAAACGGATAGTCAGGTGGGCCGCGCTCTCAAAAATTCTTAGCCATTTTTCTTCAGAGAACATGACTACAATCCATACCCATTACGACTGTTGCAATTGCCATAAACCGTTCGAGCTTACAAAGCTGTTCATTTGCGCCTCAGATGGGGATGATCTGGGCGTGGAGAAAGTACATTAAATTTCTATAATTAAATACCTACGATTTAGCTATTGACAAAGTTGTGGTGTCAAGAATGTGGTAGAACCCATGATGACCATCACAGAACTGCGCGTCGTACTTTGGTACATACTATACCAAATGGAATATCCATTTAGGTGAATATTGTTCTGCAAAAAAGCGAGAAGCTCAGGGATATTTTCATGGGACGCACCACGGTCTATTTGAATGAGATCGAAAAAGCATTTGGGTTATATAAAGAGGTTAATTGTTCTTGGGAATATTTTGAAGTTTTGATCGTCTAGACGCTTGGAAAGCAATATGCTGCTTTGGACCAAGCCTCTGATAATGATGCTTTGCTTCACATGAACAAAGCTTTGGAAGGCATGAAGAAGGCCGAACGATATTTAGGCCAATTAGCAGGGACAAGAGACTACGTGAGTTGTTATTTTTCGACGCCTTAAAAATACGCATATATACCGTAGAAATAGCGTAGCAGAATTTGAACCTGATTTAGTTTCGCTTTGGCAAAAAACATGGACTTCTACCGGTAGAATCTTACAGCGCAAATATTACGAATGGATCTGCTACAAATATCCCTCAAGGTATCAGTTTGTACAGCTACACCGTTCCATACTATAACTTTTAGAATACTCAATCGAGAAACTCTTGGAGTTCTCTGAAAAGGTTGAGAAAGATCTGAAGGCGATGCGGCTCCATGGACCAGACAAGGCAAAAATCGTCATCAATGAGGCGAAAAAGAGGGTCCGAATCAGCCCGAGGGTCGAGCAAGTATCGTTTGATAGCGATGCTGATGAAGATGAGCAAGAAATCAATGATCCCGAAGAGCCAAAACCGGACGAAATTCTGGTTCACACCCCGCCACCTCAACACAATCCTTGGTAGGATAAAATGGCATTACGGATTCGCATCGCAGATATCTATTTAGAAAATGATCCTCTGTTGTTGAGCCATCAAAAATAGGCGTTTTAGGAATACATCTCCTTTTCCTCCTCCTCCTCCTCAAATCCCCTCGTCACCCATCGCTACCGGCTCAAGAACAGGTACTTTTTGCCCTAGCATCGGCTTAGATTTATTTAGATGCCTTTCAACAAGGATTCCCGACCCATGCGGAAAAAACCCCCAGTAGCAAGCGAGACCTGATACAAAAGTGCCTTCCGGATTTTTTGCCACCGAAATTTGGCCAATTTAAAGGTTACCTAAACCCTCGTCGCATGTGAACACATTGTTTTAGAGCCGGCGCCGTTCTCTCAGCCGGTTAATATTGTTCCAATTGGTTATGGGCATCAACCGGGTAATTTTATATTATTAGAAATTTTATGTGAGCATGATTTTTAGCCTACATGACTCCATTTGATGGATTCCCGCAAATTCAGCCAATGCTCGTCCCAGCCCCAATAGCCTACGACTATCAAGCAGAAGCCTATCGAAAGGAGTTGAAGCGGGGCTATTTGAGCCCAAGATTTCTTCAAATTACAGGTAAGAGCGGGTGTTAGGAGGTCCAGCTTGGTCCGATACATAATTCTAAGCCTAGGCTTAAATCTGACCTAAACCTAACCCAAGCATAACCATTTCAGACCTGAATTTCAACGATGAACACCACCTGACAATGCTCGTCTCCACTTCCGCCGACGTGGCGATGTTGATCCGTTTTGAAGAGTGGGACCCTCGAGGATCCGGAGTGAAGATCAATTTTCCGCATCAACCAGACCCCCGTCCATACTATAAGATGGCTTTCGAAGCCTTTCCGCATGAGAGCTACAAGATTGACATCGACTTTTCGCAGGCTGGGCACGTCTTGAAATATTATTCGCAGGTTTGTCGCTGTTCTATAGGTGTTTCCTTGCTATATAAAAGACAATCGTGTGTTTTAACGACAAGAAAATTGGGCGTAGTTGGTATTCCAAGTTTTGCGCTATGCTGAGTTTCTCTGGAAGCGCTTCTTACTTTTTTACTTTTTAAGAATGTCAATATTATATCCTATTCTATTTCATTCTATCTATCTAAACCTATTATTTTTTCCAGCAAAACAACCAGCACTATGGCTACGTTAGAATCTCGGCGAAAAGCCGGCTCAGCGACCCAGACGCCAAATATAGCATGGCCTACGTCACGGTGCTCCTGAAATTTGATGGCAATTGGTGAGGTAACACTTAAATCTTAACTGCTATTTTAGTTGGATCCCAAGCCTGAGTCCGGATCCACCCAGCGATCACTATAAATATCGAAAGAAATAATTGAATTTTTGCTGATATCAGATGATGTGAAAAAGAAAACAACGAAAAAATATTCGTTAATCTGCTCTTTGATTATTTTTTATTTTTTTTATCAAAATAATTGTTTGGTTGAATAAATAACGGTTAAAATATTTTGAAATTACATACATCCAACTTGGTTTTGATCAAAGCAACGCGATTCTCTCTTGGTTTTGAGGCACTATTGGTTGCATAGGGGTGACCTATCTTGCGCTCCATTCCGTAGTTTGTGCCCGCCATTTCGAATCCCCAGTAAATGGGGGAACGGTCTTTTGATGCGCTAATTGGTTGCTTATAATTGCGCTTTAATCCATGTCTTTTAACTTTACAATATGTTAATTTTGCCAATAACAACCACCCAAAATTTCTAGGGGTAATGTCAAAACGGGGTGTCGTCGAATCTTCCGACAACGACGAGGATTTCGAGCCGGCTCGAGGTTAGAATCACATAAAATTAACGAGTTTTTGGGGAGAAAAACCACTAGTCGTTAAAAGTTAAAACGTATAGTAATGTTTTAGCGTCCCAGCCAGTGGTGGGTAGCCGGAAATCGAAGCGTCTTCGACTCCAGAACAGCCCTTCGGTTTCTGGGAATTCTGATGAGGAAGTGGAGCCAGCTAACTCACAAAAAAGCATCGCCAAGAAAGGAAGACGGCGGTTAGTTAGCAAATAATTTAACTAAAAAAACATCTGCTTAGAGGTTTCATAGTGCTTTTCATGTTTTTTTTTCCACTAAAGGAGCTAAGCCTAAGACTAAGACTAGGGGTAAGCCTAGGCTTATTACTAAGTCTAAGCTTAAGTTAAGCTCCACAGACTAACATAAGTCTGGGTCTAAGCCTAAACCTGAGCCTAAACTGCTGTTTTTACGTAAAAATACCTATTTAAAAACCTCTTTAGATCAACCTGCCTGCGACCCGCCCAAAAAGGCGTTACCGCCCAATCCGATAGCGAAGATGAAAAGCGAAGAAGCGAAAGATATACCCGCCAGGGCAATTTACAAGTAATTCAAAGCTTATTCCCCTAAAAATTATTTTGAGAAATTTTTTGCCTTTTATAAAGTGCTCGCCGACAACTCTTCATATTCGCCAATTTTTCTCCGGCGAACCCACCTAGCTTTTGTGTAAGTGTCAATAATTTTTTTCTACAAAGTAATATTCGGAAATTAATGAGAGGATTTAGTCACAGGGATTATCTCAATCCCGCTGCCGACGACTATGATTTTACCCGTGAATTACCGCCGAGGGCTTTGCACCATAGGGCTGAACATTTAAGGGTAAGGTTTATACCAGAAAAATTAATCAATTACTATAGTCAAAGCGACAACGAAAAATGGCAGCTGGGAAGAAAGTTAGTGAGATTGGGAGGCTGTTAATTGAGAAACACCTCGAGCCGAGCTTGGTCTGGAATACGAACAGATTGGTGGGTGATACAACAAACCGAAGACTTAATCCAAACATTACTAAAAATTATATCGAAAGCTATACATAATTTTAGTTGACGCAACAATACCAACTGGACTATCATTTTTCAATGGGTACTTTGGCAGAGCTGAGGAATGGAGACTGGGAAGCACCACTTTATGCGGCGCATTTCCGAAGAAAATTTGCTGTACGTTTTTTACAGAATTTAGTCTTTGAAGATACTTTAGCAGTGGTTAACTAAACAAATCAGCCGGAAAAATACGCTTTGTGATTTCAGGCAACAAAAGGAAAGTTTCCACCACGGCCCCGGATCGAAATCCACCACCTCGGCCTGCGACTTCGACATCTACACGTCCCAGGTCCTTCGAGCGCGTGGGTGTCAAACTTTTAGCGCTTATTTTTGGTACTGTACTGTTAGCAGGGGGAGGGGTAGCGCGGGAAAAACCAAGGAATAAGGTTTTGTACACAGATTTATTTATCAGACTCATAAAGCAATTATAATAATTTTCGGAAAATTGTGAGTTTTCGGCCAAAAATATATGCGAAATGACCAAAAAAGGTAAAAGATTTCGGATTCTCACAGCAAACTATGTAAAAACTATAGTGTATAAGTTTCTAGAGAACAAAAACTTCCAGACACACCATAAAAACATAAAATATTATCAAAGGTGTAGGCGGAACGACAAAAAATTGGTTTCCGTTGCTGAATGTCTGCAAAGCGCTGAATTTGCTTAACAATTTTAGGAGCATGGACGTAAGCTGTTTCGTCGTGTCTTCCAAGGACAAAATTGGCGATTCCATACCGGTAAGCTAGAAAAATTAGTGAAAACCCCGATTCACCAGGTGCGAATCGAAGACGGGATCCCGTTCGGCAACAACCACGTGTTTCCTGAAAATTGCGGTATCGATTTGCTGCTCGGCGCATCCGGGCTCCGCTTTGAGGATCTAAAGTCTGCGGCGGTGCTCTTTCAGGTAGGGAATGAAATTACGATTAAAAAGCCAATCTGTAGGTCGAAGACACTATTCGCTCGATAAGCCGTTATGGGTATTTGCCGTTGTACGAGCAGGATGAGGAAGAGCCGGCCGCGTTGAAGAGCTACACCATCTATCTGGAGACATTACCAGAACTGGCGAAGGAGGTCACCGAAGCGGCTGACCTGATCGGCTTGGCACGCTATAATCAAATCTATGAGTCGCTGCGGGCTAAGCCTGTGGTATGTTGATACGGAAAGCGACAGAGTTTCGCGTCGTCACAAAAACATTCTTACTCACCTATTAATTCAGGATCGGGTAACTGATGCTCACCTCGTGTTGTCGCTCATCGAATCCGACGCCAAATTGGGATACGGGGTAAAGCTGCTTCAAAATCAAATGAAAATTCTCTAGGAGCCAGCTCGAGAAGACGCCGTCCCGAAAAGCTGCGTGCCAAGTTGTCCACTGAACAAAACCGGAACAAGTATCGGAAAGAAAGGCCGGCAATCCTGTAGGGAATCGACCGGAAATGGTGCTTTAAACGGTACTATGGCTTTCGGTTTCAACATTCAAAAATTGCAGATAGTAGAAGAGTGGATACTGTAGACGAGAATCGAAATCGGTACCAGCGGAAGGACGAGCTGGCTGTGCAATTTTGGGTTGGTTAGACGCTTATTCTACTTGATAGACCGCTGCAGAGCTGCTGACAAAATGAGTGGGTTTTTTAGACGAATCTACCCGATTTCATTGAATATTTCGATCCGGCGGACCGTCCAAGCCCTGAGGGTCGACTCGAGAAAGTCGTACGCATGGGTCAGTTTTTATACTCAAGTTTTAACGAAATGAAAAAAATAAAAAAGTGCTTGAAAATGTCACTCTATTTTTCTTAACCGCATCCAACTTCAGAAGGCTATGATGCTACATCTTCGCGTGATTGGCTCCGTTTGGTCATGTCGACACGATTCCCGACCGAAATCGAATACGCCGTCTACAATTGCAGCTATAAAAAAGTATAATACACGTATTTTTACATCTTGTCTTTTAGAGAGACAAAGAACCCAGTGACCTCTTCATGTCCCAAACAGCAGCCTCCCCTGAGAGATGTCTATTATGCCGCAAGAGCTGCCCCAACCTATTCGCCCTGCTCCTCCACTACCATACCTCGTACCCGAGGCTGTGCTTTTTGGTAGCGATGCACGAGGGGGATACGGTAAGTTATTACTGTGTTAAAAACAAGGCTTTCAGCCTGAACCCGCCGATTCGCTGTTGATCGAAATTTACTACGATGAGCACCATCTGGATGTGTATATGTTGCCAGGAAGTGGGAGGGTACGTCAAGTTCAAAGCGGCTGTTTGATGCGTAAAATTACTTACTAATTACTTATTTACTAACTTACTAGCTGTAAAAATCTCGAATTTCAGGGCCTCGATGAAAATGAGCTCACCGAGAAGGACAGACGGCGAGCCGAATACATTTCGAGCAGCTCCCAATACAGCTACTTCCTCAGCAAGTTGGTTGCATATTTTGGCGCGAAACTTCATCCTCCTAGAACTCACACCAACTACTTCAAGCGTGAACTTCGCATGGACAATCTAATGTTTGTGAAGACCACGCGACAACGAGCTGTTTGCAAGTAAATTTGATTTTTAACGATTGACCCATTTTTCTGTTTCAGGAATCGTAACACCGTATTTGCCGATGGAAGATACAACGTAGCCCTTTTGCGTGTTGGTAGGGAAGAATCGGAAAGGATGTTATTCTTGGAGGCAATGAGGGTGAGTCGTAATTCTATGCTTCAAATGTGCCTAGAATCTGTACGAATTCAACGACGTCGACCCGGATACGCTGCGATACTTTGGTATTTACAACTATTTCCGGTGGCAAGTTGGCCCGGCATACAAGCGAAGCACACATCATTTATTGGTAGGTATTTGTAAATGTGGACATATCGAAAGATGTTTATGAGCTTTGGTTAGAGTGCAGTTTATCCCCCCCCCCCCCCCCCACCCAACTTTTGTATCTCGGCTCCCTGTTCATCTACAGGTGTGTAAAGTATACCAAAATGTTCGTCTTGCTCTGGCGAGTATTTTGCTATACTTTACTCACCTATAGATGACCAGGGAGTCGATATACGGTAGGTGGCGGTAGGCTGGGGGGGGGGCTTTTAAGCCGGTAGTTTAAAAACTGCACTTAAGCCATGAGCTTTAACCTAGGAAATAATATTCCAGCGTCTCTTCTTCATCGCTTATTACAAATGCTTAAAAGAGACACGTCTTCTAAACCGCTTCCACTCCCATATCCTACAACTGCGAGAGCTGAACCAGTTGAAAGACGACCACCTGGAAGACCTGGAAATGATGTAATACACGAAAAATTACTGAATCCTGTTAATTCAGGCTAATCGAGACCGGTGACCACGACCCGAAACTCCACCTCACCCCCTTCCAATGCAAATTTTCCTTCTACTATCGATCGTTGAAAAATATGGTGGAGAATACGAGTTGTATGACTTCCTCTTTTAGTAGATGCAAAACCTAACTTTAGATGGAAAATGTCCGGCAGCAGAACGAGAAGCGATGATCCAGAG